CATAAAACCTAATTTAATTGTACTTAATGGATGATGCGCACTCACACTTTTGTACAATTCAAGTATTTTGTGCGTGCATGAATAATCATCATAGTAATAATAATAAAGAATATTAGTAATTGATCTGAACAAAATTCTTCTTAGAGAAAAAATTCCTCCCCGATTGGGAAATGTTTCAGATAAATCTGGATTGTTTTTAAAAAAGTTAACCTACCTTGCTTATGTTTAATTAAGACACACAGAAAAGCTGGCATTCGATAAACGATTCGAAGAAAATTGAAATTTCCTATAAAAAACTAATCAAGTGCCGTTTTTCGCTGGCATCGGTTACTTTCAAGTACTAATTGACAATTTCTGAAGCAAAAAAAAATCGCATTGTAGAAAAACGGCACTTGAGGTCAGGTTTTTTATAGGAAATTTCAATTTTCTTCGAATCGTTCAAATTAACTTACTTGTTTTTGTCCCAGACGGAGGTTCTACATTAGTTTCACAAACAGCTTTCAGCTTCCAATGAATACCTTTAATGACTAATTTCACACGTTTACAATATCTGTAACACAGACAAGAACATCGAATTCTGACTATGTTAGATATTGTTTTTAGGAAGACAAATTTTGAAATTTCTGTTGCAAGACACATATTCGAAACGCAAAAAATATATTTATATTTACGACGCATCAGAAAGTCGCTCACCTTGATCCACCAATGAAAACGGTTATTCTTTTTCATTGAATGAATTCCATTACCGATTTTAAATTTCTAAAATAAAACAAAAATCTCGTCCATCGTGGTGAACAACCGCAAACAAAGTTTATAAGGGAGACAGTATGGACCAAGTAGCAGCGTTGCAAATTACGTTATATTTCCCGAAAACTTATAACGAGAGCGACGCTCAATATATGGACACCGGAGCCAAAACGAAGTAGTACGGGGATGCAATTAGTCCCAGCAGACCACAAGGTTCGCAATTTTTAATTTGACGACGTCATCGCGAAATAATGAGTCCACAATTTTGTTTTTAAATTAATAAAGTTACCGGTAATAGCTTTTTAGCTGAAAACAAAATATTTACCCACTAAACATATTAAAGTAACTGGTCCAGTAGTTAATGAGAAAAGCGATTTGTTCAACAAGATACTAACAAGGAACACGAAAAAAAAACATAATAACATAATGAATCTTTATGCACATTTCGTGTCCAATAATATTGAAGCAAATAACCTGTAATTACCCATCAGCCGTCACATGGGCTAAGAATGTTTAATGATTGTGTTGTTAGAAACTCCTATACAGCTACCATGTTCAGTTACGCCGAAGATTGGTCTTCTGTGCATTTTTGTTTTTTCACGCATATTACTGCAACATAAAATTGATTGTAATTTTAGTTGTGGAAAACGCAATTTTAATTGCTATACGATACAAAAAATAGGACATGGCATACTTCTTACGTAGGTGAATTTCTTCTTGCGTAATAGAGTTTTTATTTATTTTACATATTGCCTTCATTACCAAAAACAATGGTTGATGGAAATCTTACAAGGGTATTGGTTTTACAAAATACGAAAGTTACAAAGAATGAAACGACTTCAACCTGGACAGCAGATGCGCATTCATCAAAACCAATCTAGTATTTTATACTCAACTGGATAAATGTTCATTCAACCTCATTTCTTCCAGCAGATCCCGATGCGAACAATTCCAGAATTTGTGATCCAATTCCACCCCAGATCATTAATTTTAGGCCTAATATTAGTCTAACTGCATTACTAAACATATAACTGTAAAAACATATAAATCGCCTGCAAAGAAACGAGAAAGCTGTAAATGAAGCCAATGCCGTTGGAATAAATAAATTTGTCAAACAGCCGGGACGACGAATAATTGGAAGACTATTCAAAATGTAAATCTGAATGCACTTACAACAAATATACGTTTTTCAGCGCAAGAGCCCAGTAGTATAAAACCTCCATATCGTCACGCTAATAACCGAATTGCGTAAGTCATTTTTAGCAGTTTTGAGAAAAACGTAAAAAACTTCCTAATGATATTGTTATGCCATTGAGAGTCAATAATTTGCCATGGTTCAATTTTTTAATCGTAGCCGGATTAAGTTAATTTGTATGACGCAGTTAAGTGACGTCATAATGGCGCACTGCGACTTAGGCAGAAATGTGTCTATGACTTACAATATTTTGCAACTTTAATATATGCACCAGTCCTGAAAACTAAACATTCCAAAAACGAATGTAGCACTCATCAATAAACACGTTCTGCACACCCACCGAAATAAGACTAAGATTAAATATAAAGAATAAAACAGCAATGCACCCAATATAAAAGCCAACCATTGGTAAATTGGACTCGGACAGTGAATATCACAAGTGCACGTCTTCCTATACTGTAGTATAAATTCAAATTAATACGCACTAATCTAGAATCAGAGATGCAAAAACTCGAAAATACTTCGCCGAGGTTGTTTTGTCTTTGCGACGTCACAATACTCCTGCGGTAACAATGATAATTCATTATGACGAAACAATCGCACAAATGTGCATGTCATACTAAATCTGGGTTTCGGAATTCTTAAAATAAAATTTGAGTTAACAGACGGGTGCGCAGTATTACATAAATACCTATTTTATAAAAAACTCAAAATCGCCAAAAATGACCTAGGCAATTCGGTTATTAGCGTGACGATATGTAATCAGATTCACGTTAAAGGTAATATAAGAAGGCAATACAATAACACTGATGGAGTCCTAACACTTGGTTTGACCAGGATTGTATACTATATTGCCATGCGGTTGTGCCCTTGTAAATGTAAATAAATTAACAGTTACCTTATTAATCCTTGATCAAACAGGGAACAAAAGAAGTGACCGTTGAAATGATTTAAAAAAAAATTAAGAAAATCACCTGTACTATATCCGGAACATCCCAACACAACCGCATCTCTGTTGAGTTTTTAATTCATCAATGATGTAGATCTTATTTATGAAATGGTCCAAACATCATTGCACAGGCTTATCTTCCCAGGGGTCTTTGATTCAACACAAGTATACTCTCAATTCAATCTCGTGCTATATTATGGCCTAACTGTAATCCATAATTTAATGAATATTTGTTTAACCGTAGTTTTTTTTGTTCCGCTCAAGCAGTTGCCGATGTCAACATTCGCAGCTTGTTTACGTTCAGTCAGTTTGCATAAACACGATCGGAAATATATGATATAGCTAAGATGTAATATATAGGCTGAATAAGATAAAAGCAAAGATAGGCCAATTCGTATATATATTCGGAATCTATCCAAGGCATAAATTTAATACAAAGTTTCTTACTTGTTCTAACTTGCACATTTTCTTGCTCTAGATTGCGTGCATTTGTTTACGTCGTCGTCTTTGATTCAATAATCACACATCAAGAATCTGTTAGTTCTATACTATGGCCTAACTGACGGAATAAGTTGGTCTTTAATAATCATTGCATCTTCCGATTTATTCTTCTCACCAAGTTCAGAACTTGTAACCTCAATTCCACTTTGTAGATATTTGAATCATTAATTGTAGGTCTAAGCTTAGTTTAACTGCATTAGTATAGCTATAAAAATGGCTGAAGATACGAGCGTTGGATTATGAAAAAATTAGCGACACAAGTATGCACATAAACCATTAAACATAAAAATTCACAAACATGAAATCAGTGCTCCCCTGACGGCGTCAACTTTGAAAAGACCGCCTGAGCGCATACAAATTTTGACGTGGCAAGAAAAAAAAGCGGGATTATGATAAAGAAACAAAGAGGCTGGAGGAGACCGCAAAATGAAGAGGTTTTTTCATTTATTATTAGGACTCACGTGTCTAGGTGACGTAAGAAAATAGCAAAACAACAAAAAAATGATGAAACATGCTGTTCGTCGCATTAACCTTTTACCACTACAGCCATATAATAATCTAGATAAATTTTATTCTAGACCATATTTAATATGCTACATTATTGGGAGAAAAAATAATTGGCAGGAAGATATTGTACCGACGTTATGGTGTGGACAGCATGCAGGAAAAATTACGCCGACCAAACATACAGTGATTACAACAAAATCAGACGATTTTTTTCATATGATACTTATTCAATACTTGTCGCAGGCATCCACAGATACCCCACGTTATGCTAGGACCGAACGCCACACACCCCTAGCTAGTTGGTTCGTATGTTAAAATATAATTAAGACGATATGTCGAGTAGCAACATTCTATCAATGCCAAATGGAAAGGGTTTCTCTGAGGAAAATCTTTTCTGCCCGCTTGTAGATTCGATTTTTGGCCCACAACTAGCTAAATGTTGCCACCCCCTGATTTTCACAAACTGAAAAGCTCCGGTTTCGGGCTCCCCAAAAATTAAATTACCATAAGCTCAATCCCAAGCGTGCATTTTAACAAAGTTAAGAGGAGCAATAACAAAGGAATCCATAAATACAAGAACAACATCTTGATTTAATCTCAGTGAGAAGGGTGTCACTGTTTCTGCGATATCAAACCTAGGAATTCCATATTATCGTCAACTATAAGCCTGACTCAATATTTTGTTTTAATGAATGCCATTGCAAAGAATAAGTTGAATGACATTGAATCAAAAATGGTAATGGCGTCATGGAAAGCGTGGCATATTGCTGTTAGAAACAAACATAAAAACATATGTAGTTGCGAAGTCGATTCTGGTAAATATGACGATTACAAAATAAACTGTTACGTCAATGGAGACCCGGAAACTCCCATGGATTGTCTGGGTATCTTCTTTTGGGTTAAGTAGTATAAGTACCCCCAGTTTGTGTGCCACTGGCCTAGCAAATACCATTCGGATTATATACCAGCAGTACCAGAATATTTATATTCTTATTATTATATATTATGTAAAGTACATTTCTGGTTATTGAATGAAAATATTTCTCCCGTGACAACTAATATGTTAACGCCCCAAAAGTCTCATGCGTAAGCAAGCTGAAAGAGGGAAACGTATATATTTTGTAAAATTTAATAATGTCAATAAATTCAATAAAATTTCATGTTTTTGCGTAATGATATATCATTCATTTTATTATTTATACAAAACAAGCAGGGAATCAACAAACAATAATTTATATCTCGAATACATTTTCCTCATGTAAAGTTATGACAGTTTGAAGTTGACAGAGGTTGCATAGGAAGGTATTTTAGACGCAGTTCTTGAATAGTGACTAGGAAGAGAAGCAGAGAAACTTGATCGAAGTCGTGTAACGGCGTCTTTCCTGTTCCAGACGTTTTCTATGATGTCATCCAAGTTGGGGAATAAGTCATCGTCGTCCAACCTCCCGTCGTTGCAGCTCGCTGGTCGATAAGGAATGTTTCGTGAAGTGTTCAACGGTAAAGTATTAGATCGTTGCAGGGTTGCTTTTCTTACGGGCGACTTGAATTCTTCAAGACTGTTCAGGCTTTGACAACTACTACTAAGACTAGAACGTGTTTCGATCAATTCACATTCTTTGTCAAATTCTTGCAAACTGCCTTCGAAATCATCGGGTCTGTACTGTGATAAAGTTTTACTGGGAGGGAAAAAGTCGTCGTCTATTTCCAATGGACTTGTCTTTTTCTCGGCAGAGGGTACTTTTTGTGACTGAGGTAGTTGCTCCTGTCTCGACCTGTTTATGTGGACAAAAATGAACACGCAGGCGATTAGTTATACATACCTACTGATCTAACTGACGATCCAAGGGAAGCAGCACAAAATAGCCGTACAAGTACCCAAATGTTGAATTTAAAACGCACCTCGAATCCGGCCTGGCAATGGAGGCTACGGTATCTATTCTGGCAAGTATTTTTCCAAATAGGGAACTTTTCCCAAAAGATTCAGATTATTCAGACATTATTAAATCATACCACATTGATGAAAATGAAAAGCATTCCGTTATCCACTGTTAATGGCACAGATAAACATAGAGGTTTCGGCCATCTAGTTATAGAACCATTAGATTATTGCGCAATGATTCTAGGAAAATTCGCTGCAATAGCATTTTGCTGTAAAACAAGTATTTGTGTTAAAAACAGTTGGGTTTTTGAGGTCCCTTTTTTTCAAAAAAGATTTGGCATTTAAGAGCATCCCCCAACCCTATAAACCTAACTGTTTTTGTTACAAATACATGTTTTACAGCCAAATGCTTTTCAGCGATTTTTCATGCTATCACAAATACTTGTTTTACAGCTAAATGCTCTTGCTTCGAATTTTCTTATGCGGCGAATTTTCCGGACACGTTGCGCAACGTTCCACTAAATGTCAATGCACACATGCAACCTTGAACACTGGCAATGGAAATATTCTGCTGCAAGATTCTTGATTAGGATGACGCCGATTGGCAATGTGGGAGATTGACAAATATACAAAATTTCATGCAGTATGAGTTAACACAATCGATGAATCATTTGAGAATAGAATTTTATTTATTTCATAAAAAATGGAATAAAAGTGAATAAAAAATAGTAGTACCGAAGTAAAACATGCAAGAAAAAATCATGCAAAGAATAAAGAACACCATGCCTAACACGATATGCTTGAGTTTTTATATTTTATATCTTTTCCCTTGATGAAAAATTGCTTTTCAAATTATCATCGGTAATAGATAGATCATGTCAGAATAGCATGTAAATTAATCAGTCCATACTTGAACAAGTAAAAATATTTTCTTGACTTAAGGTAACAAAGTGGAAGACTAACTATAACCAAGTTAGATTTGAGAAACAGTGTTTATCTTGATATACATTTATTGAATAAATTTTAACTATAAAAAATTATTTTAAATTTTACGGTACAAGAAAAAAATTGACAGCATTAGGAATATTTATCAAAGTGGAAGCAACAGGCAAGGTAAAAAGATTATAATTCTGTACAATATAAGATATTTTTGACATAGAAATATTACAAATAAAGTCTTTTAGTGTACAGTGAAAGTGTAAAATGTCAAATGCCAAAACATTCAGTATCACAAATCATTCACAGTGGGAAATACCCAATAAGAGAAAAGTTAAACCATGCAAGTATATTGTATGATGAATTAAATGATAAATTGGTCACGATATCACACAAAAACTATACAAGAAATTCATGGTATGATGATTTGAAAATTTAAATGATCAAATCACACCTTGACAGCTTTTAGTGATATAATTAAAAAGACTTAAAATATTTTGATATGAACATCCTAACTTATTTTAATTGCTATATAAAGATATGGAATGCAGTTGAATTCAAATGCAAATTTTTTTAACTGTTGGTCAATTTCAGAAGTTGAGCTTATCCCAGTTTCAATTAGTCTGTATATTTACCGTCTATATATTATATTTATGAAAGCGTGATATGTTATCGTAGATTATGTAGTGGCATGTGGGAATGTTTACTAAACGACGTGAGTACTTCTATTTGGCGTGGTACAACCATTTTTACATATGTTACTCCTAACCCCGACCTGGCTATGCCATCCAAAAAATTATGTTACTACGAGGTCACAATCGGGTCATAGAGCTTGTCAAAGTATAGCTACAATAGCCCAAAATGGCATGCGCTGACGATAACGGACTCACTAATGCCAGTGATCTCCCTCATATCGAGATCGTTACGACGAGAAAACGAGAGAAGTAGCTTGCTCGATTTCAGGTGATCGTCTGCAAGTCTCGGATGACAGTGAGTATAGTTCGGAGGGCATTACTACGTTACTGTGACATCGTAGCGACGTAATTCATGAATGACGTCGTCATGTGGGGGTTAGGAATGACATATGCAAAAATGGTTGTGGTTGTCACGACAACTAGAGATACTTACGTGTGTTGTGAACCTGACCCCTGGCATGTATACGTTTTTTGAAATAAGGGAGCCCGTTGTTAAGGAGTTTGAGACAAAAGAGAACCTGTTTTTAAAATTTTGAATCCCATTACTGCTAATAGGTGAATTTACCCCGATAGATGTGTCCCATTCAAATATAACCGGGTAGAACAAAAAAAAAAATTTTTTTGCTGCTTTGTTATAAAATCAGTATTTCAGATTTAGTCACAGCAAAGGAATAGTTTGGGAGAAATTCTAGTTGTTGATTTGGTATTAAGTTAGTACACAGGATCAAATGCATTCATGAAAATTATTGTAGAGACTGTTATGAAAAGAACAGTGAGACCGTCAGCATGCCATCACCAAGTAAAATTCTACCTAATAAACTTCTTTGGTTGTGTAGGAGGTGTCGGCCGCATGTTTTTTGAAAAAGTGCTGCTCGTTGAACTCGCACTGGGTGACGTAGAACCGTTTTGAAGCGGGCCAAGTCTATTCGGAGGTGATAACGCTGATTCGATGGAACTTAAATTCGGAACACTAACATATTGTGATGAAAATCGACTCGGAACAGGTGGAGGTTTATCTCCCTTTTTCTTTTGTTGCTGAAAATATAAATTTATTTTATTATTCTTCAAAAAGCCTTTTTTGGTAAATTGTGGAATCTGTTTGATAATTACAATCCATTCCATTAAGGGAGAAGGAGTGCAATCCATGTCAAAAAGCATTTTTAGAAGTTTTATCATTCGATTTATTTCCATACTGGAATTCGCTCATAACGAGGCAAATCCGAGTCAAAATTAGATGACATCTGTAGACGAAAAAAATAGATCAGTGGCAAAAATACATAAATAAAATTAGAAAGTTTGATGCAGAAAATTACAGTTTTTTATTCATCAAATTGCTCAAATTAATTGTGAAATCATATCTGGAACTTGAAATGCAGACATACTAAGAAACTACTTACTTACCACGTTTAAAGGATTAAGAACACCGACATTAGGTGAGGTACTGAACACTTTATTAAAGTTTGTTTCTCTGTTTACAAGTTCAAGTTGATAATATTTCTTATCATCCTGAAATATAATAAAGAAGAATAACCACAACAAGTAATAATAGAGGCAACATCATAAGAGATATGAATCGGAATATGAATAAATTGTAAATCATAATATGGCAGCAAAAAAGCAGACAACACTGATAAAATTGTGATTTATCCTGTCTAAATTTCAGTAATCTGTATTTCATCTTTTTACCATCCTGTTGTACATACAGAATGAAGTCAAAAATTGTATTTCAGGGTAAAAGAAGAAGAAATACCCCAGTACTGGTTATCGAGTAGCGACACCTAACATCAAATTATATTAGGGTAAATAAAAGGGGAACATTGCATAGTATGAAAATTTGGACTATGAATATGTTTAAGCGACCTGATATTATCAGTATCGCTCGTTTCACTACAATGAAACAAATCTAGGCACCGTCAGATGAGTAACCATGGTGACAGCAGCACAGAGAAAACTATTCAAGAATTGAGGGGAGATAGGCTAGATAGGCTGTCTATTAGTTTGTTGAACCATAAAACCAGTGTTGGGTATTCAAGTCATGGATCATCTATGTCTCGAGTCAAGACCGTAGTCGAGTCAACCACTGGGTCATCTAGATTTCACTTTTAATATAACAATTATAAAAGATGGAATATGATACGATCCAGGGATAAAAAGATTTCTAAAAATATTTACAATTAATTTTTGCATCTGAACTTCTTTATCATGAACAAGTTGTTTCAATTCTTTTATTGTTCGTAAATCTTCAGGTCGGCTTTCTCGTCTAGAAAATCTATCTTCTGCTTCTTGTAATCTGTATTAAAAAAGATGAGAATTTAACAGCCGTGCTTACTTATGAAAATATGAGTGAAATACCAGGACATATCTCTTCATGGTTTTAATAACGGTTTGGAAGGAAAAGCCACTCTGATAAAAAATATATTTTTTTGATTGACATTCAGCCAAATCAAAGTCACTGCTATCTTGCTCCAGCATTATTTCAGATTTCTGTAGTCATTAATTTGAGTGAACAAAATTTTGTTTTCTTAACGACAGTAAAGTTTTATATGAGTTGAATACCAAGTAAAAAACACTGACGCTGGCCCAAATTTGGGTGTGTGCAAATTCTCAGTTTTGCATGAAAACTTGCAAAATTTTTTCAGTCGAGCTTACGCAATATTTAAAGATGATATTTTGTCTTTCAAGCTTTCTGTCGCCCTGTTGAATTCCCCAACTAAAGCTTGCTTCTGTCTGAGACTTTCGGCTTCCATTTTGTCTTGCTCTCGTTGGAACTTTCTTGACAAATCATCTTCTCGTCGTCGAAGTTCAATATTAGCTTCGCTTCGTATTCGAAGAATTTCTTGACCTGATCAGAAAGTTGAAAAGTCATCTTTGAAGTATAAATTATTAGTAAATCAGGCTTAATGGCAATAAGATATACGGTATTTCCTCAGCGAACAAGTCTACTCAGCAAATAAGACGAATCCTCTTTTTAGCACTGAAAGAGAGGTTTTTTTCCATATAGCCCTCCAATAAGACCTGGCAGAAAAATTGCTACTCTGTTGGTCAGTCAAACACTAATATGTATCAATAATTTTATATGGTTAAAACCAGGTCAAAGCACAGATAACAGGTGACAGTACAAAGTCAATTAAATAATCTTGATTGGCAGACAATTTGGCAGCTGTGAATACATTAAAAAATATATAAACTCAGATATGAAGCTTACACAAATCATGTTTGACTAGTGTGAATACTAAACCCCAGAAAAAGTAGAAAGCATAGCCGCCTAATAAGACGCCCCCCCCCCAAATCGGGCCAAAAAATTGGGTCTAGAAAAGCGCCTTAATAGTAGGGAAATATGGTATTTAGAACAGAATTGTTATTTTATGTCTTGGGTGAACATCACTTAAAATTTTGACATGGTTTGAAATGAAAAAATATTGAAATTGGTTATATTGAATACTATACCTTTACAATCAACTTCTTTATTTAGACTTATTATTTCGTCCCCTTGTTTTTCTGCTCTTTGTTGCAAGTCATTTAAAAGAGATGTTTTTTGACTCAGATCATCTTCCAATCCACTGATCTGTGGAAATAACATTGGTCAATTTATGAACAATAACGGACAATTACGTGAAAGTGAGAGTACCCCGTACCCACCACTTCATCCACAGTGTATTGGATGAAAGGATGTATTGACTGAAACATTTTTTGCCTAAAACATAGTATCAGCTTGATTATAGAGACCTATTTGTAGTGAATGATAAGTGTAGGTATATCATATACCAAAGTCTATCAGAATTAGACAGTCTTTTTGTTCACATTGTTAGGAAGAATCTTGCCGTTGCCATAACACCTCTATTTACCCTGTGTGAGTTCGGGGGCAAATTCTGTGAGGGATAATTATGTGTGAGCAAGTGCTGGACTCTTCGTCGTCATCGGGTGGGTCACATGCCGATGGCCAGTTACGGCTTTCTCAACCATCAAGTCCATACATCTGAAATGAATAATAACTGACTAACTAATCTCATACCCGACCGACATGGACTGGTGACCAACCAGTAGGCCATGTTAAGTCATAATTATGATTGAGTCGTCTTTTCGGCATCCCACTGCCCCGGAGATAAAAAAGGACAATTCTACCCTACTTCAAAAATGAACTTAATTACTGAGTAATGGAGTATTAAGAAATAAAAATTTAATTTCCATTCATAACTAATCAGATATTGGTCAAATTCAATATAGTACCTTTCTAGAATAATCAGATTCTTGTCTTCTTGTTGCATCCAGCGCTCTTTCTAATTCCCCTCTCACAGACATTAACTTTTGTTCAAATTGTCTCATTGCATCATCCATGGCATATGCATGTTGATGTGTTAGTTCAGATCGCATTTCCTCTGCAAAAAATTATGATTTAGTTTACGAATTGCAGCTTCAACTATTCTATGACGACACTTCCATTGGTAGTACACAGTTGGCAGTGACTCTGAACAAGGCCCTGTACAAGCATTCAAATGCCCCATCACCCCTCCCAGTAGATGATGAACCCTGACAGGCAATGCAGTACTGCAGCGGATCTTAAAGGGTGATTTGCAAAGTACGCCCCGAAAATTAACAGAATTGTGTTAAACACAACAGACATATGATTGAATATTTTACATATTATTTTTATTATGAATGTTTTATTGTTTCTTATTTTAAATGCTGCGTATATGAATCAATAAATTAATTTTACCTTTGTACGTCGTTTATTTTCTGTTACATAGTGTCTACCTCTATAGTTCTGTAACAATAGAGGTAGACACTTTCTGCAACTTCGTGAGTTGCAGTTTACTTATCTGCCAAACCGAGTTTAGCGAACACGAATGATTTTTTTAGTAATTCAATCACGCAGAGATGCGGAAGAAGAGTTGACATTGCCTTTTCCCGTTAGGCTACATGTTTTTAACTTTGAAAGGCATAAAGTACATATAATTAAAGATCGCAAAAATGAGTTTTATTCAAGGGCAGCAATTTTTATTTCGTGTAAGTACCCTGATAATTTGGCATCGTACGAACATAAAGTTTAGAAACTGCTGCCATACCGGATCAATTAGTATTCTTTAAAAATAGAGTTAGTACCTTCTTACATATGGATCAGTGGCTGTACAGAGCCTTGTTCGGAGTAAAAGTAAAATGTCATATGAAAAAAGGCGCGATTATTCTCTTTTCATATCATTCTCACCTAAATCTTGTAATCCTTCTTGCTCTTTCCTTATTAATTCTTCTTCATGTTCTCGATTTAATTTTTCTTTTATTGATTCAATAGTTAATCTATGAGCTTGCATTTGTGTTTGTTGTTCTTCCCTAAACACGCAAAAAAATGAAAAGATCAGAATATTGAATCAATTTTGATGGTGAGCTAAGCCTATATGGGACATTCAGTCATGTAATGATTTATGTACACAAAAACAGGTTTTTATATGGGATTGGTTAATTGCACATATTTATTGTGAAACTCTTCCTTCGTTTGAACGAATTTGCCAAAGGTTGACAAGTGTGACTTATTTTTAATCAGAAATTAAGATTTCATCAACATGGTAGACTTATTTTGAATTTCTTGTGCATAGAATTTGTCTCATACTGAAATTAAATTTTTTGAAATTGTTCAGTAATATATTTATTTTCTACCTATATTGAGATAATAATCTTCCTTCCAACGATCGTAATTCTTCTTCTTTCTTGTGTTCAAGAGTTGTCATCTCCGATCTGTGAGCATTTTCCATGTTTGCGATCTGAAGTGGAAATAAAAATACAATTCCCATACATCAAAATATACTGTAGCATGGATCGAAACAGATATATTGATTGGTTCAGAGGACTTGCACATCACACTTTTGCAAGTTTCATGTGAAGTTTCATTTGACCAAATCCAGATGTCAATAGACAAGCAGTTTACAACAATATTACAAATAAAATATTCATATACTGAAAAATATATATGCGGTATATAAAGTATAACCAATTTCGCATTGGTTTGTGAGAGTAAACACTTAATAAGGTAGCGTGATGGGAAAGTTACCCTTTTTACGCAATCACAATGCCACTGCAACAGAAATGAACTTACATTGTTATACTGGACTAATTGCTCACGAATTTTAAGTAGTTGGTCATAAGTATCATAAAAACTCCCTACCTTTGATGAATATTCTGTTGCAGCATCATTTGCAGCTTGTCGTAATTCTCTTTCATTTTGTACAAATTTTGATTTTTCTTCAGCTAATGCTCTGTCTGAATCTTTTTGTAATTCCTCCATTGCACTTTTCAGTTCTGATATCTAAAATTAATTCAAATTGAATGATAAGAATTTAACAAATGGAACCTATAATTTCTTAATTGCTTCTACAAAAATAAAATATTAAGTTTTGTTTGCACGTGAACTTCTGTTTGTGTATGATTATACCCAAAAAGTTTGAGAAGTATGGGATGCTTTGTACAAAAGTTATGTTCGCTCTAGAATATTTTCCAATTGACCTCCTTAGTATTAGAGACAGAATTGCAACCGTTGCACAAAATTGTCAATTACTCTCTTGGTCCATCAAGAATTAAATATTGATATTCGTCTATTTTTTTCACAAAAATTTGTTCAAACTAAAGTCACGCACACTCTCACAGAAATAAAAAGGATTGAATGAATTTACATAAGCTACTGAGGCTTTGAAGAATTATAGTGTAGAACTGCACGTTAATAAATACAGACTAATGCGAGACTCGAAGCTGTTAAGGTTAATTCAACCAGGAAAACAGCGATGATGTAAAAAACTTTATGCAAGAGACATTTTTGCCTCGTAGATACACTGATTGTAAACAGAACCCATATTAGAAACTGAAAACTTTTTTTAAAAGTTCAGAACACGAACCATTATAATACCTGTAAAATAACCAAAACAAATTTGACCGAATTAACATAAAAAATTATAACAATACTTACCATAGTTGTAAGGTGTTTAATTTGTTCTTGCCAACCTAACTTTGCGGCTTTGATTTCCCGTTCCTTTTGTGATTGTAGTTGTTCTAGTGATGATCGTTTATCTTGTGTATGTTGATTGATTAAACGTGTCTGCAGATCTCCCAACTCAGATCTAGAAAAGAATCAGAGTAAGATTTAATCAGTAAAACTGAATATGCAATCTTCGTTAGATATCAGTGGTGGCTTGTACAGGGACTTGTTCAGAGCAATTTCCATGAATAAGAGTCATATTCAGATTATCTATTTATAAGTGGCTAGCATATTTACATTGTCGGATATATTATCTGTAATGGTTAAGATCAAAACGAATATTATAAATATATAGAATTTAGTAGTTAGTCAAATTTATCTATATATAAAAGGTAAAGGATACAAAATGTCAACTTAATATGGAGTAGATAATAGAAATCCTGTAACAAAATTCTACCTCATTTGTTCTTGCCATTTTGAATTCAATTGTGTTGTGAATCTTTCAATTTCATTTTGATGTTTCCTTTCAGTCGAATGCATATCTTGTTCGAATGATATCTTATTGGATTCAAGTTCCTTCCTGTAAAAGTTAAAATCAATGTTGAAGAAAGTTGGCAAGTATTTTTTTTTGATGAATAAAACGTTGACATAAAAATAATACGTTGAAAATACTCAATAGCTTTCAAGGGTTCTTTATCTGGCCCACAATGGATGGCTTAGAATATAACATAATGAGCGTGATATAAAGATAACTATAAATGAAAAAATTGCCTGATAGTAAAATAAAGTTCATGACACTCCAAATTATTAATTTTTTGAGCATACCTCAAAGCAGCCATGCTTGTTTCTGATGTTCGTAATCTTCCATCAGACATTTCGACCTCTCTTTGCAATTCTGATATTCTTGAATTTAAATTTTTAATATGAGAACTTGCATCACCAAGTCCATCTTCATGTTGACGAACTAGGGACTCCAATCTTGACAACTGAGAATGGAAGATAACAAAACTTCATGAATTTATATCAGAAAAACTGGACTTTTAAACCAATTGTGCTGACAACTACAGCAATAGCCAGGTGATGACTTAACACTAAACAATTAGAATAAATAATAGCTTTACAGACAATTCAATAGAACAATGTATCTGAGGTGAAATTCAACACCTCTAGAATTGAACTAATGATTCGGTTTCTGCTGACTACTTATCCTTCTTCTATGTTTTTGTGCTGGCGGATCTGCATCCATATAATGCAAGGATGCTGTAGCAAGAGTGAAGATAACTATCCTAAGTGATAAGAGTCTTGCTGCACACTAACACAAATATATTTCTGTAACGTTTCGTCTGACCAAGATCAGACTTCCTCGGACATACATAGTTCAACTATCTGAGTTGAACTAGTTGAACCATATATGTCAGAGGAAGTCTGACCTTGGTCAGGCGAAAGGTTACAGAAATCTAGAATAGAAGATGTTTATATTTATTCTGGGGTAGAGGAAACCAGAAAATATGCTACCACAGCTTCTCATACAGTTACCAGTCCAGGTTGAGGCGTGGGTGTATATAATGTACCAGTTTGTCAATCGAGATGCATGGTATTTGTAGGTGGAGGGAACCTTACAGACCAGCATTTATTGATTACCCTAGCATTGACAGGAAGTCTAGTAATCTTTGCACACATAATTATTCCTCAGGGAATTTGAACCTATGACCCCACACAAGGTGATTTAGTGATTAGCATTAAAATGACAAGCATATTCCAAACGTCTTACGAATGCGAACTGTTTTTTACAAAGTGCTTGCTTTGTTCGGATTCGGACATAATATGAACAATCTAGGTCTTTGATGAATCCTTCACCTCATTTTGTGTTGTTTGTAATTTTCCATACAACTCCTTCTTTTCAGATTCAACTTTACTGACGGCTTCGTTTTTCTCTTCATTAAGTTGGGTTGTTTCTTTTCGTAATCTGTCTTGCATATCTCGAAGCATTGCATCCATTGAATTTTGAGCCTAAATATCAATGGTTTGCAGAATTAATAAACAGGAATTTCATATTTATTTTTGAATTTTAAATTCATCCCGGGACCTGGAAATTAGATAAGAGGGCTTAATCAGATGGCAAACCAGCGCCTCTTGTTTGGTTGCCAGTCCATGTTGGGTATGAGTGAATGTTTCAGATACATAGACTTGATGGTAAAGGAAGCCACCACCCCACGATGTATCTCCTTGCACAAACAATAATTATCTTCCACAGGATTTGAACCTGTGAACCTGCAAAAGCTAGTTAGAAAAGTAATAGTAAGATGCTGCCCAGCCTATTTAAAATGGTTTAGGGGTAATGAAAAATAGATTTCTTCTATTTTATTGAATTGCTTATTCTGGTTCTTTGAATGTACAATTGCATTTATGCTATTGATCTCAATTTTGTGTAGCAATTTATGTGATAAACTGCTTACAGCCCTCTGTAGTTATTGTTATTTCCAATTTTAACTGAGCCGTTGTAGGTTACTCAAAAGTTAGATTTGCAAGTGGATAAAAATGTTCAATTTCTAAGTAGTTTGACCAAATTTCTTGTCAGAAGTATTATTTACATTTAAGGTTATAGATGAAACTAAAAATACCACTTGAGTATGAAATTTAAACTGTAAAATTTCATGATATGTATTTCATTCTCAAAAAATTAAAGTTTAATAATATTTATATCGTAATGCCAATTTGGGCGGTATAGAATGAACTTTTCCTTGGTGAAACTGTCTCTTAAAAGTATATACTTTGAAATGCTAATACCCAGCCTTTTAAAAAACTGAACCCTTTAAAGTTGTTGAAAATATTACGGAATTTTTCCATCACTGGAAAGAACCTACCAAATATGTTAGATATGTTGATATGATAATATAAACCTCACGACAGGACCACAGTAACCACATTATATTTGAAGTGGTCTTAGTCGATCAAAATTCAATAAGGCATGAAAATAATACTCAGGAATGTGGGAAATATGATATTTACATGCCGATAAGATATTATTGAACGATTTCAAACAACTTGTTAAGCTTAAAGTCTGTTTGTAGAATTTTTCTAACCACATAAAGTAAATTTGAATGTGTGTAGATAATAGAAGGCTTCAAAATTCGCCTGTCATTTTGGATGGCATAAAATACTACTGTGGTAATCAGTATGTGATGAATGGCTCGTGAAATATTACCTTTATTTCACATTATTTTATTTTATCAATTCATTGTGAAAATATCTATGGTCACAGCATCCACATATTTTTGACTCATTTGTCAGAAAATTTGAATTAACACTTGTAAAAAATGAAAAATTTTAATTACGGTACTTTTTCAAGTCGTTTGATCACAGGTTACTGGTTAAAAGACTAAATTAAATCCATTGAGATTTGATATTCTAGAATACAAAAATGGCCGTGCATGATATCATGAAAATTAATGAATTATCTTCATATTTTTTAAAATATTGAACTTGATCAATCATAATAATACATCACATGAGTTTTCCTAATAACAATGTAAGTTTTATGTTCGATCATGCTTGATAATATAAAATATCTCTAGCCATCCGCAAAGAATTTACTGTAATCTGCCGTTAGTATCAAATACAGAAGGGACTGTGGCCCTAGGGATGTCAACAAAGGAACCCATGATGGAAATATGTCAACAAGTTCATTTAATTTTAATTTACTTAAGAGAAAAAGATAACCAGACACTGATGGAGAATGATTCATTACATGCAACAAAGAAATGCATATAGGATTTTAGACTGGGTAGAAAATTTCGTTTCGAATTTTTGTTCAATTTTTTAATAATTATTCTATACAGAATTTCAAAGGGAGGAAATTATACAAAATTGAAAATGCCATCTCAAGTTGGAAATCTTTGATCGAGCACTAGTCAGTCTATTAGTTTTTGGGTGCGTTTCGACTCAACTGTGTTGGTCATCCCGGGTACAAATTCCACGCCCACCACCATCACCCATGGTGTAATGAATTGAGCAAGGTATGCCGAATCAGAAAAATTCCAGTCCTTAAGAAATAAATCAGCTACTCACCGGTACATATGAGTAACTAACTGCTTGTGTTGAGCCTTGTTTGAGCAAAATATGTGAAAGATATTATAAAAAAGATTGGAACTATCATTAACCACATCATATTACACAGAATATTGTGTATCCTATACCAAACATGAACCTTTTTGGAATTGAAAAATGGGCTATCCAGAACTGTGTGTACCAATATGGAGGTAACTAATTTTGTTCGCCTACTTTACATCAAGTTGTGTACAGCGACTGAAGCCTATCGGTAGGGGGTATATTCACTTTGCTAACACAGACAGTCCCATACTCGTAATAGAACTACAATAAGGAAAATCGGAATAAAATTATGACCTAACCCTAACCTGGTATACACACTACAGGAATACCGAAAAATGAGTGCAGTACCTATTTACATCTGAATGTATGCTTGTGCTTATACAGAGCTCTAATTAGAGTGGATATGTGGAAAAGTTGCAATGGCTATGTTACACTCGCTATGTCTAAGCGTTAACAAAATAATACATTACAAGGCTGTTAACAAACTGAGAATAATCTAACATAACATGTGCATGAAATATTTTTGATTTCATATTTGCTGTTGATGAATTATAGTTCAAAATTTTCAATATTTTGTTGAGCAAAAATGTGATGTGTACAAATTTTTGTCAACGCATTTGTCGAAGTCGTTTGATCAAACATCGGAAACTGAGCGTCAACTATTATAATCTCCTTATGTTTGAGTGCTTTGTTTACAGTACAGGGGCTATAATCCTGTTGAAATTTTAGTAAATCCATCCTACGAGCAAAAAGTCGAGACACTTTGATGGAAGAGAATTGTTACCTTGCTCAAAAATGAGAAATGACGTAATGTTATGATATGCTCTATGCGGCACAGGTATTTCAAAATTGCTAACATTGTCATGACAAAAGTAAGCCTCACCCAAACATTAAAATTTTGTTACCATAAGTTTAATGGAAATGGCGATTTCTTGCCCCAGAAAGCTTGCTATAGATAGTTTGTCTTTATTTTCAAAATTTTAATCGCATATAATTCACAATTCACAATAAAATAAAACTTAAAAACAGAATCATGTTATTTAGAATATATTCTCGAGATAATATAATTTTTGTGCAAAGCATCTTAGATTAATTAATCTTTGGGGTTCGATCATACTCACAAACATAATATGTTCAAGTGTTAAATAAATTTTTTTCATTTTCAAAGAAGTAATTAAAAAATGTATGGGTTCTGTTTGGTTTTTGGGGTCGGCATGTATATATATAGGTGTGAGTAGCAATACATAGACACTAGAATAATATTCGTCATCTACGGTATGTATTTTATGAAATTTGCAATGCAAACTTTTTGCAACAATTTTTATCATTTCAATCCCCAAATCTCCTGTTCTTTTTAACATGCATTTATTCGCTATCATCTAGATTTGATCATAAAATCGAATCTATTGAGTTTGAAACTATAATACCCGATTTACAAATTGTTTCATAAATATTGATAAGAGTTATAAGATTTACAAAACAATATCTAAATATTAATAATTCAATTAGTTTATTTTAATTAAAATTTAATTATTTCAGACTGTATGAATTAGGGGAACAAATTGAAAATCGTTCAATGAAAAACACTCCATCAATTTAATGACTATTTTCAATGAATACCTTTTTGTTTATTTCACTTGTGTTTAATTAATTAATCTAATTGTAATTAATTATATCGAACTATAAATATGAATTAGAGTAACCAGATAGAAAAATTACCCAATTAAAAACTTCCAGTCACTCCAACATATTTGGTCTCAATTTTCAGAATTATTTTTCATTTTATGTTTTCATATTTCACAAAAATGAGCATTCAAATTTAAATGTTTTTCTAAATTATGCATTAGTTTTATTCCTTGCTCTAATTTGAATATATTGGCATAATAACTATGTCACAAATGCAATAAGTAACAGCTTGCAGACATCAGGTCTCTTGAGACAGTCTAATTCAGAATGGAAAACCAACATTCAAATACAGAAATACCACATTTAACCATGTAAAGAAATTGGTTTCAAAACTATGCACAAGTCAAATAGTTTGACAAATAGTAAAAATAGACAGAATTTGATATATTATAATAACATGATGATAATAAGGCCAATATTCAGTGTTCACCTTTGGTGTTCCATAATGTGTTATTGAATCATGTTTGTCAAAGGTAATCGGTAATATAATCTGATACGGAGGGAAGATTATCAAAGACGAGCATTGTTCGAAGATATTGGTGCGACGCGAATTATTTAATTTTAATTTTTTGTACCACCAATTTAGAAACAATTTACCTAACATGGTACATTGATAAATTGGGAAAACAAGACTCGATTTATCCATGTTTTGCGCATGATTAATAAGATACCGGCTTCTGCAATGATTGTGGCGGAAAGGTGAACCCAAAAGTTTCTAAAGGTGACAATTTTATAAAGTTTGGGATACCACGCTCTGATAGCAGTGAATGGTAAAATGTCTAACCAGCTTGTTATCAAAATAAAGACCAACAAGCCACTGAAACTTTTGCAAAAACAATGTTTCCAATCTGAATAATTTCAAAACAGAAAATGACTGAAAATAAAGTTTGAAAGCTTATTAAGATAGAGTATTTCTTGTAGCGTTTTTATATATCACATCGAATTATATGTTTCTAAAGAATTTGTTTTTGTAGAAGTTGGAATATATATTTTTCCAATGGGAACACTATGGTACAAAAGCCTTCAGGGAAGCAATCAGGCAGTAATATTTGTTTATATTGGCTGTGATTGTCAAAACACAAGCATCAAATACCGGAAATTTAAATTAAAAATATCATTTTTAGTCAATTTGTTTTAATATATACTCCAAACTTGAAAAGGAAAATTATTTAAATGTTCCGCCCAGGTTTTAAAAGCAAATTTTGTCAAATATATACATACATGATCCATGCATCAACAACATCTTCCATGAATGGCCAAACTTGACAATATTTATTTTACTTTATATAAGGAGATAAATATATAAATGAGAAACTTTAAACTTAACTACCGGTAAGTTTTTCAAAGAAAACTTAAGAGCTTATTATTAGGTCATATTTATTAACTTTGCTTTGGCAATATAATTTCCTTAAAATTTTTCATCGATCAAGGTTACATGCTTCGCTAACAATTTGTGATGCATGATCAAATAGAATTCATGAAATTTGTTAACATATTTTTATTTTCATTTTGAATTTTCAATATATAAAGTTTTTTAAAAGGTATGTTCACACCGTTACTCTGAACAAGGCTCTACAGTCTTCTCAATAATCTAGGATGTCCAAAACGAACCGAATGTTCGAATACTTTCAAAATTAGTTGTATTTTATATAGTAAGTTTGTGCTTTAAATAATAATATTGAATATTTCCAATTAGAACTTCGTCATTTCTTTTATTGAAAATCTGGCATATTCCCGGTAGTTAAAAATCTGGTTGATGTACTGGTAACTTATATGATCTTTTCTTTCTGCATTGTTAAATTCAATCTCTACAATATACAGAGTGTTCATAAAGTCATGTTCTAATTTCAATTCTGTCATCAAGTCAGTTCTCAATATATCTTAATCAGATTAATTTTATTTTAATCTGTGTTTGCCTTATTCAATACAACTGTAGGGATCAACAAACTATATGGTATCAATAAATTCACTTTGCAATTTCAAAAATTCTTAGAATTTATGAACATCATGTATATAAATTTCTGTATATTCAATGTTGAATGGACCAATTTACAATTATATTCGATATTCTGTATCCATAAATATTTTTTCAGAAAGCAGCCTAATAGTAAATTATTCCGTTCCAGCCATCCCTGCTTTTACTGTTTATTATTGGGTAAGGTTATTCCTACCAATACCCAAAAATTTCATAAAAAAAAAAATTTAAAAATATTTTTATGCCAATTTTAGTAACAAAATCTGCACCTTCTTATGACTAGCCAAGTATGAACCACCATTGACCACATTTATTGCATTGAGACATACTCCAACTATAGTTCGAAATAATGCAATAATTCATTTAATGTCGCACAACTTAATTGTTACTATACAATCAGTTGCCCAATTTCAAGTTCAAATTATAGGATTGCCTAAAATTTATTTGGGCAAGATTATCCACTTCAATATCCATTTGAGTGTAGATAAGTACTCCTTGAGTTGTTTTGAAACATTCGAGTGGGTGTACTCAAGACAATTAGATAATTTAAACTTCATGCACATGGACTTCACAGTTACTCTGTTAAAAATTCTTTTCATATTTTTTCATTTCATTTTTTCAATCATATTTTTTATATTTTTAAAAACGTGCATTGCTGATTGAACAAGAGATTGAACGAATGTATCAGTTAGTGAGAATTTCTGTGGTTCAAAAGATAAGGGTACTACTACCTCTTTGGTTATTTTCTCAAAATACCAAGAGTACCAAAATACCTCAAAGTACCAAAATTATTTAAAACATTTATTTGAATCCTTTGCTTCATACATGATTATTGCGCCCCAGCATATGTTTAACAAACACTAATACAAAAATCCAGACCAAATACGGTAAGTATCTCTATACGCCTAATTGTATACTTATTTGAGGCACTGTTCAGAGCAATAGTATAATGAAATGAAAATAATAAATTACCTCAGTTTTCAATGATTCTATGAGTGATTGATTGTTACGTTCAGTTGCTTGTCTTTCATTATCATATTGTTCAGTTAGTTGTTTCATTTCGTTACTGTGAGATTGTTTCAATTGTTCCAGATTTTTTGTAAATTGTTTTTGAAGATTTGATTTTTCTTCCATGACACTTTCAAGTCGCTGAAATTAGAAATTCGAAAATTAGAAAAAGCCGTAAAAGGAAAGCATTATTATTAGATACGATAGAAATGAAACTGTAATGCAAACCAAGGAAGAGCTGGAAATATAAAAAAAATTGGTGCAAGAAAAAGATCATTTTGGGGGTTTAAACAAGAGTAATTAATGTAGTAATAGTAGTAGTAATTGATTTTGTCAAAAAACAAAATGTAATATTTTTATCAGCACTAATTAAAATTTCAAAAATTATTATTAAAAATTATCGTTATTAAAAAGGTCTTTTGTTAGCAGCACCAAAAAAAATAAATCTATAATGAAAGTTAGCTAGATGACATTAATAGAGAGAGCACATACCGTTTTGAATAACTAAAATTTGCAATCAAGAATGTTACTTATCAATCAACTGAGTACAAAGAACATACATGTATCATGAATGAAAAATCTGGCAAAATCAGGAATACTTTAACAAAGTACAGTGATTGTTGCAAGACATTTTTTTACTTTTTTGCTCAAATGAATCATTTTGGTTACCTTTCCCATGACTTGTAATTGTTCCATGAGTTGTTGTGACTTTTCTGAAGTATTACTCTGTAATGAATCTTTTTCAGATGAGAGTGAATCAATTTGAGATTTCAATATTTTAATTTCTTTTTCTAAACCTTGAATATTTGCTTCTTGAGTTAATTTTGAAGCTTCTAATGTTCCAATCTGACCTGAAATTGGATTGAAATCCATTAAAATTTATTATTTTTCCATTCATTTTCTCAAAAAATACTGTAGGCCTACTTGATTTCTTTAAAATATCAGCTTCTTGATTTTGTAATCTCGATTGCAATGTGTTTAATTCTTCTAGTAGATATTGGACTTTATCACATGAATTTGAATATTCCTTTTGCACTCTTGTGATACCAGTTTGTAGATCCTGCAAAAATGGAAATAAGTTGGATTTCAAATAAAAAAAAAACAGTTATAACATGGGCACTTTGATTAAAAAATGGCCCAATTTCGGTATAATTTATAGACATGTTCCATATCATTATAATGGATCTCAAACATCGTTTATTTAAATGCCATACCCATCACCACAACCAGAGTGTGAATAAATTAGGTAGAAAAAGTCGTATTGGAAAGATTCTGATACTTCCAAAAATAGTAGTTCCTCCCCTTTACACGCTTGTACATGGCCTTGTTCAGAGTGAAAGGGGTAAATAAGCATCATATAAAGAAGTGGATGAAATTATGAGAAAAACAGAAAATGATAGTGCAATACCCATATTTATAGGACAATAAAAATTAGTAGTGGTTTGTTTTGTAATAACAATTTAATAGATAAATGATTTGGCATCATTGCTTTAATGTACCTCATTAATGAAAGTACCTTGCAAGTACAAGAATTTATTAAAATTTAATTTCCCTTAGTCGAAAAACGCTGAAAACTTTTCTTTTATAATACATAAATCAGTTATTTTTTGATCGGGAAATCAGGAAACAGTCACCGCAACAACAAAAATAAAGTAACAATGTTTTTTCCAGAACAGAGCGGTCACTGAAGGATTTGATGAGATCATATTATAATCACAAAGTTTTGGAGGATTCCACACTTACTGAGTTTTGATCAGTGATATTGGTGATCTGCGTTGTTGCATCTTCTAATTTTTTCCTGAGGTCTTCTGTTTCATGAGTTTGCATCTGTAATTCATCTTGAAGTCCAGCTAATTTTTTCTTGAGACTATATTCCAACTTTGAAGCCTCTTGACGAATTTCAGATTCACGTTCCTGCCACCTGTGAAAATTTTGAAACTGACAGATCAGTTCTCGAACTAATATTGAATTTACACTAGATTCAGGTTGATTTAAAAAATAAATTTTAGTTGAATTTGTATAAACTAAAACGATGTAATACACTGATTGGATCGAAATTCAAAATTTGATAAAAAAAATGTATTTAAAAAGATTCAAGTACCATATTTCTCCATAGAATGAGTAACAATAAAAGTGATAAATTCACTATCACACCTTTTAATTGCCTCCTCATCTGTTGCTGATGCTTGAGACCTCAAAGCAGCAAGTTCTCTCTCATAAAATGCTTTTGCTTTATTCATTTTACTTTCGTATTCATCTTCTGATTTTTTAAATTCCTGTTTCAAATTAGTATTCTCCCGTTCCAATGCATGAATCTATGTAATAATGATTGTTGTTGTGAATGAGTGATAAAAATGAGTTTAATGATAATAAATAACAATGGTCTCAGAAAAGGACCTTGCATCACTCCCACAAAGATGAATACGAGATAGCGATCAGAGACCGCCGACTTATCGATCTTCCGCATCACTAATTAATTAATAACTCGTTAATTATATGACAGAATTTATCCAGGTTTTTGGTCCGAGCTATGATAAATGCACATACAAAATTTGGAGCAGATTCAATCTCGCTTTCGTGAGATATCACGTAACATACTAAAGTGTACAGACAAACACACAAAGAGACAAATACCTATCAACATATCGAGATCGATAAGTAATAAGTGTGTTGAGAGTTTGGAAACTATTTCATAAACAAATCAGCATTGGCAATAGGTATCCAAATCTTACTTTATCGTAGAAGAGCATAATAGCAGCATGCAAGATGGGTCGACTCTTAGCAAAGTGCAATGAGTTAGAGTGCTATTGAGCAAATTCTGATCATCATCATACCAAAACATAATAAAACCAGCACCTGTTTTGTATGTGAATCTATTAAATCCCGTTTTTCATTATTGAATTTAGTATCCTTAGAATCTATGATTGCATGAAGTCTTTCAAGTTCCTTTCGATGTTCATTGCTCATTTTTTCCATCTCATGACCACCCTCATTTCGTAGGGTTGTCTTTAAATCATGAAAGTCTCGTAATCGTTGTTCAAATTCTGATTTACAGTCGCCAAGATCTTTTGTGAGGCCCATTACCTAAATAAAACCAAAACACTAATACGAGGAAAAGTAAACCTTTATATAGGATTATATTTTGAGTCCTTTTTTTTAAATTTAACCAAATAAAACATCATTGAAAAATATTTACCAAGATTTAATTTTAAGTGAAGATAATTTCATTGGTATAAAAGTAATTTTCCATTTGTTAAAGTATCAAAAATAATTTTATTATCCACATCAATTTAGTGAAAACTTCATAAATCATCATAGTCCTTTACAAAAACCCGAATAATGTTGATACTGAGAGAACAAATATATAAGGAGATATATGAATAAGATTTTGTAATAAATTTTGAATTTTCAATGAATGTCAAAAAATTTATAACACGCCTCAAATCCAACCTTCCCACTGAAGACCTAGAAACCTGGTGAAAAATATTATAATATGACAGATGGGGAAATGTACAAAGATCAGAAAAATATCGTTTTACTATACCTTTAACGTATGATCGGATTCAATTCTCATTTCTCTCTCTTCCACAAGTCTCTTGAAAGATTCAAACTCAATCATAGCTTGGCGTTTTTCTTTTTCAGATGCATTGATGATTTCTTCCAGATTATGTATTTTTCTGTTAGAGATAGAGCAAAACTTTACAACTGTACCAAGAAATAGTGTATTATTCACTTTTGATTATAAAATATATACCATTGAACAAAATTATGCCAACGGAAAATATGGTAATAGTTATACGAACTTTCGTAAGTCTAATTCATTCCCGATCTTTAGTCTATAATGTTGAATTTTAGCAGCTGTTTCAGAAAGTAATTGTTGAGTTTCTTCTTCATGTGCTTCTTTCATTGCAAGCAGTGCAGATTCATGTTCATCATTTTTTGTATTCAATGCATATATCACCTGAAACAAAGATTATTTTCATTTAGTGTTTGAATCATTGTTTTTCAATAACTTATAATTTATCCTATTGTTTTCGAGTAGACTAGCATAGCTATAAGATACCTATTTTTGTACAAACTTGTTCTATGACAAATATTTATCAGATTAGTAACCACAGGATAATTTTGAAATAAAATGAGCATTGCTTAAGGGGCATAGGCAAATCAAAAAATGGCAATAAAAATATACTATTTTTATATATGTAGCATAATTATCATTAATTAATCAGAATAAATCTAATTAATGCCAACGGATTTTAAGATTACTACTGCCCCATAGTTTTTTTACTTATATACTGCTTATACGCTTCAAGTTTAGCTATAAAATATGCCTCAAGGACATATAATTAAAAGACTATACATAGAGGGTTTTGTCCACATTTTAAGAAATATATTTGATAAGAACTCACCTTGGTAAGCTGTGCAATCTTTTTTGACATCTTCAAATGCATGTCTTGCATATCTCCTCCCGCCGCCCCAAAGGCAGCTTGTGAATTCGGTGGTGGCATGTGTGGATATTTTGATGATGAATTGTTATAATACTGCCATGAAGTACCACCTGATGCCATGTTGTAACATTGGCAGATTTGGAGTAATCAAACAAATTTTGTCCAAACTCAAATTGATTCTCATTAAGTGAGCATTTTTCTGTCCATATCAGAGTAATATTTATTTTGTCTATATTAGCTAGACAGCCTAAATTAAAAAAAATAATTCGTTATAGCTAAATAAAAAATAATTTTTCACTGTGGAATCATGGATGAAAATATAACCAAAATATGGATGAAATAACTATTAGGTTTATTTTGAGTAGGGGCCAAAACAAAATTGAACTGAAAAAATTGGACAATTAAATATTTCAAACTATGTTTAGCACATTGCTATAACACATTATTAAACAACATGGAACTATTATACAAGAAGTATGATGATATATATCACCAGAGTTCTAAAAAATACATATGCGAAGCTAAAACAATTAAACAAAAAAAACTGTGTAATGACGAATAGTCGAATTTTCATCAGTTCTTGGCGAAGAACATATATTTTTTATGAGTCATTTAGTATAATATTTACATAATGAAATAAATTGATAATGCTGCGATTTACAATGAGTAGTTATAATGACAGTAACAAAAAAAAGGAATGAAAGCGTGAAATAAGTGCAGCTATATCACTCACAACTTCAAGCAAGAGACATAGATTATACAGGGTGTTCATGAATGTCTTTTGCAAGTGAAATTTCAGTACAAAGTTCGTTCTCAATATATCTTAACCAGGTTTGTTTTTATTTTATTCAGTGTTTATTTAAGTTTTTACTTCATTTTATTCCATATTTATAAGCCTTCCATTAGTTGCATGAAGGACACCGAAGTTCTTTTATCTGATTTGATAAAGAACTTTATGAACACCCTGTGTATTATTATGCAGTCAAAATAAGAAAAAGTAAACATGGTTATACATATAAAGTACAGTGATTAATTAATAAAAGACAATGTTACAAAAAGCAAATATGTGGGGAAAAATCTGACAGCAAAACAGAGAATCTAATCAAAATAAAGCTTGAAATAAGCGACACGATTTCTGAATTTCCTGAATTCTTTATCACTGTGTAATTCAGTTTTTAAAGTTTTCTTAGAAGAAACAGGTTCAATTGGTAGAATAGGAGAGCCAAACTGTTCGGGCCATCTCACTCTTCTATTCCTCACAATCTCATGCTCATAAACTCCTGGCCCTGGGGTTTTCATTTGATCGACTGCTCGTTGCTTAAATCTAACAGTGGATGTATGAAAAGGTTTGAAAGCAGGTGGTGATGTTTTCGGCTTGGTCCATTCAGTTTGATACACCATTGGGCTTGGGGTATTCAAGTGATGCACTCTTCGAAATCTTGGGTCCGTCCTAGCACCACATGTATAACCTTTTGAACTACAAATCCAATTGTCGAGATTGTATGTGAAACTGGTCAATTCAGCATTGTTGTATCGCCCTGGACCTCTTTGGGGTGCACCACGAAGAGGACACAATTCATTTCCAGTGCGATCAGGCTCGCAAACATGGGGGAACAAACCTCTATTTAGTGTTGTTCCAAAGGACACTGCCTTTTTTGCAGGGTTTTCATCATCCAAATAAAACATCACTTATTTTGGTCAGGGTGTAAATTCATTTAACAGAAAATCAAAATCACTTTAATCTTTGAACAAAGTTATTCAATTGAAGAAAATCTAACAATTTCCAAATATTAATTCCCTTGCTCGTCGGAAGCAAGCATAAATCCGAAAGCTGAGGCTGATCAAGATTTATCGTAGGCACTGATGCATGAAAAACGTCACAACAAACAAAGTTGTCGTTGTCACGGATACCAAAATCTTGAGCAAAGCTTTTCTTGTCAACAACCAGAAAGACACAACATATTATTTTTCTGTTATCACTAAAATATAGAAAATTGCGTTTTAGATAAAATTTTGCACTTTATACACCACTAAAATGAATCCAGGAACTTGATTCAGCCAAAAAAACAACCTCAAGGAGAGTATCGCTGTAACGAAAATGGAAATTGTCATGGCGACGTTTAATAACTTTGATGAAAAGAGGGAATTTTAGAGCAATTGCTAAGTTTTTTAATTAGGCCAGGTGTTTGTAAGTTACATTATGTAAGTAAAGTCAGTACATTTATAGGTGAGTTATCCTGTCCATATTTTTTATGAAATTATAGTGATTCCGGTTGTCTTCATTTCAGAATTCGCCTGCTCATGTAACGTTAACACTGACGTATACGTACTAATACAGTGATAGTAACTAATAGCAGATACTGAGTGACGATATTGAGAATTCCGATTTTAGTATGGAATAATAATTTAAATGGATTTATAGTGATGTAAAATCATCATTATATATATATATATCAGTATATATTTATACAAGATTTTACAACATAGAATTTAATATGATTCATCATTTTAAATTACATAAATATTTTGATGTTGTGACATTTTCTATGAATTTTTTTTTCAATTTTGCTCATTTCTTAGTGTTTGGATATGTGTAGGCCTATGCTTCGTTTCGAACAAAAGAAGTAAAAAGTTAGAAAGTGGAGATTGCATTATTGTCTCCAATTGAAAATTTTGCAAATAAACTAACGACATTTTGACTTTTTGTTGTACAATAATTAATTAATCTACTTTACCAAAATAAATGATGTATTGAGATGACAATAATCCTGCAAAAAATAAAACTTCAAAAATTGCTAAATATTTGCATATTGTTACTTTTTAACTTGTTTGAACTAATTTTTCGGAGATCAAACTAGATTTAATGGATAGATAGATATTTACAGCTCTATGACAATTATAGTTGTGAATTGAAAAAGACGAATGGCATGCTTAAAACATTGAAGACTTTATTTTGAGCCCACAGATAATGTTCCATATATAACCTGATAATTGATGTGCCCTGTTCATATCTTATTTCATATTTTACTCTGATATAGTGTTTCCAAATAACATGCAATTATAACAAAATGCTTTGATAATCTACAATAACAATGCAAGAAATATTGGACAATGCCCAAATCTTCAACGGTGTTGATCATTCTAGTCAATGTGACGATGCTCGTTTTATGAAACGCAGACCGGCATGGAAAACAGATGTTTTGAACCCTTTGAAAATTGAGCCACAATCCGACTTGACTGTGACGGACGTTAGTCATGCTTATCAATTAGAAAAGGTCAAAGCTCTATCAGCAATTCCAAGTGAATTACAAACTAGTGAAGAATGGTTACAAAACCACTCCATCAGTTTTCAAAAACTGACTTTGAAAGACTTGTTGTCGAAAGGAAAACAAGTGAAAAGACCTGGTTCTGATACTCATATGGTTTTCAGTGGTACAGTCATCAATGAAATGGAATATAAATTGAACAGTGCTATAGAACTCTACCATGATCGCATAAAATGGTTGTTGGGAGGAACTAGAGCTACATATGGTCTCATAAAAGGAGATCGAGTTGGAGTATTGATCGATTCTTCAGATGCAAATACAGGATTTGGAAGATTAAAAGAATTCCAAAAATCCCTTTTAGATTTGATAGATGAACAACTTTCCACCAAAAAGAGTTTGTATTTCCTATCATTTGGCACAGATGTGGAAAGTCTGTGGAATATTCCGAGAGATGTAAACACAAGGATTCTTGAGGAAGCAAGAGATTTTGTAAGACAAATACGTCCTAGTGGAGGTTGTAATTTATTGAAAGCTTTCAAAAAGATAATGAAAGTAAAAAGGCTTAATTCAGTTGTCATTATTCTTGGCACTTGTCCTGACCAAACTTCAAACGTTCTTTTTGATTATGTGGAACAATGTCTTCTTGGTAAAGAACTTCCAATACAAGCAATTGCTTATGATAACTCTAACCATCATACCCACACAACACTTCAAAAACTTTCGAATGCTTCAAGAGGACGATATCAATGCTACAGTTCTTCTGACATTAAAGAATCCTACAAGAGTAGTGATGTGAGACTTCTTCTTAGAGAATCTCAGAGAACATTGGATATGCTTTCAAAAATCAAGCAAATGAGGAGTGGTATGCTCGGCAATGCACTAATCAGCATTGAAAATGAAATTGCATTAGAAGTGGAGCATTTAAGTCTATCACGATTTCTTCCCCGGCCAGTGAATCACCACCAACCTCTGAATATAGAAAAAGCAAATTTTCACCCAACTGGTAGCTCACAATGGCTTGCAGAAAATGGTCTTAGAGCGAAACAGTTAAACTTGTACCAAGTCCTTGCACAAGATGCATTTGATCCAATCAGGGATTTTGTGCCCATTCTTCGCAAATCTGTTAGATCGAGAGTAAATGAAACGGCAATGCAGCAATTTGAATGGCATGATGGATCAGTTAAAAATATGCATGTCGATGTCGCAATGTTATATGATTATCAAAAGAAACTTGGAAATGCTGTGCAGAATTTTGAAACCAGGATTGAATGGCTTGCATCTGCAAGTCGCAGAATATGGGGTACTATTTGTGAAAAAAGAGTGATCCTTCTAATTGACACATCTATTGGAAATAGACAGTATTTGGTCCATTTACAGCATTCCATACGTTTAGTATTGGAACAACAAATGCTCAACAAAGAGGCTTTTAATTTGATAGCATTTGGTAGCAATCCAAAAATGTGGAAACCTCACATGGTGAAACCAACAAAAGAGAATCTACAATCTGCCTGGAGATGGGCATTGCATTTAGAAGCAAATGGAAGCCGAAATTTTATGGGGGCTTTTCGTACTGCGGTAGAAAACATGGATGATATCAAATGTGGAGGTGTGCAAGGCATCTACTGTATTGGAAGCGGAATACCTGATCAGCAGGAGGATGTTGCTCGTACTTTTGTTAGTGAAAAATGTATAGGATGTGACTTGAAACTTCACGTTATTCTATTTTGTATTGATGACTACCAACAGGAAAGTGAGTTGCCTAGCCGGTATGCGAATTTGACTCGGACCTCGGATTATTTGAGAAACTTAGCCCATGCTGGACATGGCCGTTTTCATTGGTTTAGGGAGTCAGGAATCATTGAAAGTGATGACATAAGCGCCATCATGAGAGAAATGGAAAGAGCCGTATATTTTTCACAGCGATGTGCTACTCTTGTTAACTCTGTGAAAGCAAACAAGGGTTCTGGGGGTGAAGATCTCAAAGCAATTGAACCTCGCAGAAAAAAGGTATTAATGCCCCCACCACTCGACAACCCAAGACAGACGGCTTTATCAATAGCTCGAGAACAGAGAGCAATTAGGGGTGAAACTCAAAAATGTCTTGCATGGAGAGCACCAACAATAAAAGCAACACTCCCTGGTGTACCATACAAACAGTCAAAATCCAACAAAAAATCAAAGGAATCCACCAAAGGGAAAGTTGCTGTAGAGCCATTCTATACAGAAGAGAAAGGCAATGTTGGAACAGTTTTCAAGAAGTTCCCAAAGAAGAAGAGTGTCAGAAAAAGTATTCCTGAACCCATATTACCAGAAATGGAGGAAAGAGTATCATCCAAGCAATGGTTGAAACGATATGGAATAAACAAGATGAAATTAAATCTTGAAAGATTTGTATCTGGGCCAGTTTGTGTGCATGATAAAGCAAAAGTAAGATCCACTGGGGGCCAGATTCATGCTAAATGGTTTTGCTCAATCTTTCCGAGTGTGGACGTTAATGACAAAGTACGGCATATTGACATGAACATCCAAGAGATTGATGATTATGAATTTCAATTGTCTCGTTTAACAAAACGTTATTTACAGAGAATGCAATGGATGCTTTCTGGGAGCAGAAAAGCGTTTGGTGTCGTTTTAGAAAATCGTGTCCTAGTGCTTATTGATGTATCTGGATCAATGGATTTTCAACTGAACAACCTTAAAAGCGAATTGAAAAATCTTATATGGGAACAACTATACAAACACAATATAGCTTTCAACATCATTGCTTTTTCAGATCACATTGCCTCATGGCAAGATGAGACAACGCCTGCGGAAGACGCCACATGTAATGACGCAGTACAATGGGTGTCTTCCTTGCATGCTCACGGAGGAACAAAAACCCTAGAAGCATTAGAAGAAGCATTTAGTGACAAAACCGCTGATGCTATCTACCTGTTATCAGATGGAAAACCAGATACCAGTATAAAACTAACCCTTGAGGCTGCAGGTCGCGCAAATAAAAAGCATATCCCAATACATACAATTTCATATAACTGTGATGACAATGCTCATACTATGTTCATGTCCAATCTTGCCCATCAGTCGGGCGGTAGGTTCCATTATTGCGGAAAAGGGGAAAGAGACGCTCATTTGGCTGCTTATAAAATGATGACAGAAGGGTTCGGAGATGAAGATGATCCTAACTTGCCAGAATTCAGGGGTGATGATCTGCAGCTTATGAGGAAAGAAGTTACGAAAGCAAGGAAATATGTTTCGCAAGCTCGACTCTACAAAAGAATTGTTGAACAACACAAAGAAGAATCTCAGCAACAACAGAGACCTAACTCTGCTTCTCCTCAACCAAAGTCAAAATTTGTTTCTGAAAAACCGTTTCTTCCATGAGAATAACTTCAGAGAAACTCTTCCTAACACATGTCATTAAAATAACAGTATAATGGAGTTGATAAACCTGCTACGTTTTCCCATTTCGGTTTGAACATTTCAGGAAGCAGATGCAAATTACTTGGTCACAGTGTGCCATAGGAAACAATGAAGATGAACATATACTTCTGGGCTGAGATTATTTCAATAAGATCATGAAAACAGTTCTTATATAACTACAGAATAAGATGATTGCCTGGTTTGCTAAAACAATTACCTAATCTTTTTACATTTCGAACGCGCCAAGAAAGGGCTAAAATTGATATGATTACGACAAATTTTTGTAAAATTTATGTTTTTTGAACAAAACTATAAATAAACGTTGTGTCCTTTATCATATATAACGATTTGCTGAACTGTGTAGAATATTTGAAATGTCTTGAACACAAATAGGAAATTGATTTTAAACTTTGTTTGCCAGCTGCTATTTCTGATTATTTATTTTATTACAGTATGTAGAATTAATAAAGTTTATTAGACCGATCATTAACCTTGGTGCCGATTATTGTTTAATTTTACTGTGAATCCCACCTTTTCTCATTTGGCAAAGTTCTGAATATATATAATATCGTGACCCAGAATACATTATGAAATCACACATGACTACAAGCATTATTCCTAAAATCAGTTATTGCTCCCATATAGTACAATGTTTTAGTACTATGAAAATAAGTATCTGAATACAATAATTTCAAAATAGTATTCAGGAAATTTTAGCATACAACATATTTCAGGCGGTAATTTTGAATAGCTGTCTTTTGTTGTCATAAAGAGAAAGTCAACTAATTTGTTTTTCTGTTACTAACTTCCTGGTTGAAACCCAACATAATTGTTCATCATGCAATTCAAATACCTGACCTATTGTAGTATATTATTTTGTATTAAAATAAATAGAGTTCTATTGAATCAAGAGTTGCAATGTGATGTGTCCAGCTAAAGATTGAAAAATGTTAAGATCCATTTAAGGGGAAATCTTGATACAGATCCTGTGGACATGATTGCCTAATTTGCTGGCATGGGCCCAAATATGTTGGTATTGTAGGTCAAATCCCAGGCTGATTGAACGTTTGTCTAGAGATGTGCTCAGAGCAAGAGTGTGGACACTCAATAAAAATGGACACAATAGAATTTAATAAAATGCATAGTCTTGAAAACGGCTAACCAACTACCTAGTAAAAACGTCACAACCTATTGACAAAACTGACTCAGACACACTCAGTTTTCATTATACAGCATTTATTCAAACTTAAAAACATTGTTGCAGTGATTAATAATGAATCAAATAAGCATGACACAGTCATCATCATGGTGCAAATGACAACAATTTAACCTCGTCATTTTAGAGGCGTAAGCAATAATAAATCGTCATGAAAATGAATAGCGATGACAGTATAATAGCTATGAACCCGGTGATACTGAAGTTAAGCATCTGATGAAATCTTGAATGTAAATAAGACATGGCAATCTGTAGCCTATATATATTTCTGTTAATGTTCCTTCATTAGTTACCACATGCTTTATCTCCACACTAGAGGTTATGATAAAATTTACGCTCAAGAATTTGCCATCTTTTTGCTGGAAATAATATTATTGCATACATAAATCAATAAAAGCAAAGGTATTTGAACAAAATTGCTCCCACCACCATAAAACAATAAATTTACTTCAGGTATAAGGTGTTCAGAAAACTTGTTTTAAATATCCATTTACGAATTTTAACTTTGTTAGTAACTTGAGATTTTCGGTCAATATTAGGTAACAACTTATTCTTCTTAACTATGATCAAAAAAATGGTCAGGAGAAAAATTGAATCATAAATTGGCAAGACATTCAATCGTAGTAGTTTAATAGTGGAAGCGAAGAATATATTTCTAATAAGCACTGAATGTGTCTGACAGCATTATCCTTCAAGAAAAATAAGACTTATTAATATGTTCTATGTTTGCAATGTGGTAAGCTAGAGCAGGTGTTACCGTTCTTTTTTTCGAGCAACCCAAATTTTTTATAAATTCAATTTTGTCAAGTCTCAAGACCCAAGAATATATGCTCAAATGCTAAACGCCGAGTAGTGCTTTTATGGCTGCAAAATTAAATTACTAATATAAAATATTCATTTTTACATAACATTCATTTTTCCAGAAATCACTTTAATATGAGAAACCTGCACTTGTTTTCGTATATTTTAAAATCATGGCTTGACTTTAAACAAAATAGATAGATGCCACTGAGTTTTCGTGCTGTGATACATCCCTTAATAACTTTTGAGCAACACTCCAATACCAAAAATGAAACGAACAATAAAATTTACTAAAAATAAAATCCTCAACTCTGTGGAGTTTTTGTTGGAAAAAGCGACCCAAAAAGATTTTTACGCGACCCAGTTTTGGGTTGCACAATCCATAGGTTGAAAAACATTGAGCTAGAGGATATCACTGATATAAAATAATATAGTTTTGTTCAATAGCCATGATTAAAGGGTACAGAGTAAATACGCTAAAGCAAATACCTCACTTTAAATAATTTCACAAAAATTACTTATCATGGCCGGAAAGTGTACAATCTGAACGCCTGTAAAATAGTATTCCATATTATCTACGAATACGATGAAAGAAAAAAGTAATATATCAGTATGTCAACTTTGTAAAGCATGCACAATCAGCTTGATACAATTAGTAACATAATTCTCAATTGCATGGACACCTTAAAATACCGTTAATGTATGTTTAAAGGTAGCAACAACCGAAGTGACAAAATATACTGTTCACACAAAATTCATTTACATATCCATAGAAACTATTTGCATGTGTCAGGTTACCATTTTGTATCGCCATAAATACACTGTTTGATGTGAATTGTGTTATATTTAATTGCTACTTTGTCAGAGTTGCAGGTTATGTTAATATCAAATATACGCCTGAATTTTGATATTTTGCTACTAAACTAAAAGTTCTGCAATAATGAGGCTTGATTTATCGGAGATGGTTTATGTCCAGCACTATAGCTAAACAAGTAAAATATATGCAAGTTATAATAATACACCAAAATATACTCAAACAAAATAAAATCCTTTTCAAATAAAAATAAACTACTTACTAAAAGAAATACCGCATTATAGTGGGTAAAGTGATTCTGCAGTGAAAGTTTTTATTCTATTGAAATACAAGGCCGGGTATTGCCTTGTAATATCATATGTGGAGACTCTTTTCTCTACTACCCCTGGATAACTTGTACAACACGAATGATGAACCCAAGTAAGTTTGTTGAACCTTTTCTTAGATGATGTTGATGTCAGTTCTAGCTCCAACTGATATTCATTTATCGCTTCAGGAGCGGTCCTATTTCCTCTACGATTTCTGTTAGTTTGACGAGTGATGTCTTTGGGTATGTAGAATGGTCGTAGTGATGCAGTGATGATTGCAGTCGAGTTTTGATCCTGAACTTCTTGTAGAACATACCTTCCTAATAGCAAGCCTTGAACTTTTTTGTTTTTGTGTTCTAGTTTGTGAACAACTTCTCTTGGATCTTGTGGTGTGGTCAACATCATTACTTCTCCGTTGTGGAAAAATCGAAGAATACGGAAATATTCCACATATAGATATGGTTTGTATCTAAAAGATGATCCATCTCCAGCTCGAACATAGGAATTTCGACTAATATATACTCCATGGACGTGAATATGCGGTTTGCACAAAAAGAGTGATTGCCATGAAGAATATGGTTTTCTGATAACTTTATCACCCCATATTTTTTGGCACATGGAATGCCATAAATCTGATTCTTGTGAAAGAGAATAGAAATCTTTACAAACAAGGGCCCATTGTCCGAGAGATATAACATCTAAGTGGCTTGAAATCACCCATTTGAGAATATATGAGAGTATTTCATGAGGAAGCTTGAGAATGAGTGCATTATTAGCATTATGAGTGGCATTGATCCCTACAATGCGCTCTTTTTCAGTTTGGTTTGCATCTGAACTTTCCACCTTTTCAAATTCATTCTGGGTACCATCATCATCCACACTTAGATGATCGAAACTCTCCAGGTCTTCAAGATCAAAATATAGAGACATAGTAGTTAATCTGGCAGACTTTCAATCATATAAATTTCTCACTTTTATGTAAACAGCCTCTTGAATATTTGCTGTCAGCTAGAATACTGTCCCGTGCTAATCAGAGAAAAGCACGAGAATATTTTGGGACAGCAGAAGCAGGAGAGGAAACTTCAATTCAAAAATTTTGTTACTCAACTGAAAGCTTCTCTGCGCCATGATATTCTTGAATGACTTATAAACCAGTAATTGTATTAGTTAAGCATTCTACCTACACCACAATGCTAAAAATAGAAAGGTATGATTGACCTCAATGATGACTAATTATTCAGCATTAATCAACTATGAGATAAAGGATTGGATAAATGACACCAATCCATTACAGCATTAATAAGTAGCCTATCAATAATTAAGAAATATATGTCGTAGCAATATGATGAATCGACTTATAGCAGTATCACTAAACCAGACCCAATAAAAATCGTTTTCTTTTTGTGTTAAATGTTGTTATAGTTATATACACAAACCAAATAAACATCTTCACTATTTTAAAAATTTCAACATCTGGACTATATTGTCATTTCAAAATTCTCTCATTTTTTCAATGGAACCAATAAAAATAGTATTTAAATCTAATTTAAATAGCTCATCACTGCTATTACTGTATTATCAGATTATAGCAAATAAATCGCTTGTTGCAAGAACCGAATCCAAATGATAAAACAGCTTCAAGCAATCACTGACATGCAAATAGGAATAGCCATGTAGTCTAGATATATAAACGTTTTACAGGTTAAAGATTACCCAGAGGCTTAATTCAATGTTATCAAAAAAGCAATCACATGATAAACTACACCCGTTCGGGGCGGTTTGACGCACAGAAGTAACATATAAGTTAGCACTTTCATTCATTGCAGTGGAATTGGAAGCTGAGGCTTCCGATATACAATATACGGCTACAATAATTAAGACTACAATATATGGCAAACAATACGTATTAATTGCATTTTACTAATTGTGGTTGTCCGATTTCTTCTTAACTTACCCTTCTCTATTTCAACTCTAAACTCAGAAACTGCAAGCTGCATCTTCAATGTTAGCTCAACCTTTCCTATACCATTTTAACACAGACGCGATAAACTCACACACTTATTCACAGGAAAATCAGCTCATTGCAGGAACTAGCTCGCTCGTCTTGCCTCGGGCGGAAATATGCCCATTGCTGTTCTACGCAACACTGCAATAACACCGCTCTGCATACCCCGCTCCACGATGTGCAGTGACAAATCGCATATTATCGATAAACGAAGCTATCTGTATAGCGGTGGTAGCAAGTAAGTCATGGTTATAATAATAATAATAATAATCTTTATTTTGATTTCCCCAAAAAAACATACACATAACAAATAATGAACACATAAAACAAACACACAGAATAATGGGAAATCGGGAAAACAGGCGGGATGTCGAATTTCGGTCAATGCGTATCAAATCAGGGCTGGCGCAATAAGGAGGGTACGTAAAATTTGCAATCCCTAATAAGATTTTTATGCTACCAACTCCTACTACGCTTCTAGGATTCAATGGCGATATGCCTGCCCGGGGTTAGATATTGACGGCGCAAATGCCTTCTCATAAACTAGTCAAAACTTAACAAAGCTTACCGAAACTAGCAGTATTTTGATAAATCACAGCGTCTGAACGTTAACTAAATGTTAGTTGAATTATTGAGATACATATTTGTTTGTAGTCAAAACTTAACAAAGCTTACCGAAACTAGCAGTATTTTGATAAATCACAGCGTCTGAACGTTAACTAAATGTTAGTTGAATTATTGAGATACATATTTGTTTGCCTGTCACGGTACTGAGGGAGTCAATCGGAGATTCTTTAAGTCAGAATCATGTTATAATTCACTTGCTGTCATCTTCTTACACACAGATCTAATTCGACATCAAGACAATTAACATGTAATATGACACTGCGCTCTCATCCCTTGCTTGTGATACTTCGATAAGCAAAAACAACCATGTATCTAATTCCCGGGATAACATTCCATACCTATCGTTGCAAAATTCAGAATAACAAGTCACTTTTACATGAAATAATGTTTATTATTTAATTATAACTATATGGAGGCGAAAGAACAAATCACTAATAACGAGAATTATATACTAAAGAAAGTTTTCCAGGCTAAAAACAAGTGCATAGTGTATTGATAATATGTTATGTATCAGAACATCTGTAAAGGAAAATTTTTGTGCAAAAAATGTGTTTGAACTAACTTCATGAAGACAAGAGACATTTTGTGTATTTTGAATTACAGTTAAATTCGGAAAAAAAATGTGTCTCGTTACGAGCAGATATTAAAATATTTATCCAATAAATCAAATAAGCAGGATTTATTTGCAATGGGATTATTTGTGAAATTGTTTCATTCGGCAATCCTTAATTGAAGTACGGTGTATCCTTCTCAGTTTGCATTTAATGAAGTACATAATTGATGTAGTGTAAATCGAAATATTGCATGTTGGCAAATGCACTTCTCTACAAATATGATTTGAGCACAAATATTATGAGAAATGCAAAACACACAACTCTAATAGAGCTTTCTAAATTAACAAAAAATATAGGAATGCAACATATTTTGACAGAATTTCAGATCCACTGTTGTAATGGATTCATCTACAATTGCACACACAAGATTATAATGCTTTTAAGACTTGGGAAGCAGCACCTATTTGCAATTACAACTTCATAAAATCTGCTGTATTTATCAATAGAATATAGTTTCCTCAATTGGCAACAACTTCTTTGTGAATACATTAGGAGGTAATTTTTGACCCTGCAGCAGCAGTTCAGACCACATTGGAAATGCTGGAGTTTTCTGTATCATGTGCTAAACGCTCACAATGAGAGGTGAGGTAAAAATTAACTCTAATATTGCACTAACAAAATTAAATAAATTAAGACATCCGTTTTCTATCAGAAAAATACACTAAAAAAATTTCTAATCTTTAGGCTTTGAAGAGGTGAAGGTCACAGGCAGTCAGTAATCAAATGGGCGTATTATGCAAAAATGATATGACAATTACTACTCGATTCTCAAATGCAAAACATTATAGGATAAAAGTAACCTGATAAAAATGCTTGATGAAGTGATAAAATGAGATGATATTCCTTACTTTTAGCTATTCCTACTTAACTTCAAATTAATGTTTAAAAATATACTGCAATGACCTATATTTAAAATGTTTGTGAATGATGGTTAAGACTGAGAGACATTTCGAATGAAAGTGGCTGATGCTCTCTAATTGGAAATTTTTAGAACGTTCACAGAAAGTATAAATTTTCAGGGATGTCTGATGACAGTATGATAGACTGAAGAATTACGAGCACTCATTAATGTGGTGAAAGTTGTTCCATCATTCAATATTGGTGGTGTAGACAAAACCTGGATAAAAAAATATAAGATGTCCATCAACATAGTCTACCATGTATATTAATATGTTCACAAAAAATGATCACAGCTACAGGAAGCATGATCTAGTACGAAGTTTGGTAATCTTCTTGCATCTGATGGTATCCTTTAGACCAGGGGTGTGTAACAGACAGCCCGCGTGCCACAACCCGGCCCGCCAAGCCATTCAGTGTGCCCCTCAACACTCAGATCCCTAAATTGAATTAAATCCTCATCCGATAGTTTATGTTTAAAAAGGCACACACATGCGTAAAAGTCCATACATTTTTTTGCTCCAGTCACTGCATTAAATCATTGAGATGGCAATCAAGTGCCTAATACTCCGCTCTGCTTGGTCAAACTTATCTAAGAACCTGATAACTCACATTGTACAACTTATCAACATCCATATTTTGTTGTCCAATACTGTTCATAAGTTTTATTGCAACATTTCTACGATCATCACTGGCAGGAGGCTTAGTCCACGGATCATAATTCGTTTCAAGTAAATACCACCTAAGAAAATATCACGAAGATCCAATTCAATGAAAACAGTCATGGAGGGTGATGGCCAAATGACTGAAGCATTGGGATTACCCATGTTGGCATCGCAAATCTAACATCTCGGGTGTAATAAATTTAGAAGACAATGTCTGATTGGAAAGATTCCAATCCATCCCAAAGACAGTGAGTAGTTCTGCTTGCACAATGGCTAATTTAGAACGAAAGGCGTGACAAAGCGTCGCATTAGTAAATTAAAATCATTTGGTTATTGTTACTAATTCAAGGAAATATATGATAGATATAATGAAGCATCAACAAATTCTGACTGCATTTAGAATTTTTATTACTATTAATAAAATTTTGACATTTAAATATGTACATGCATAGCGTAGCATACTGTTACTACATATGATGAGCTAGCTAGCTTTCGTGGCAACGCTTCTTATTTCTTTAAGGTCAACAACTAATCAAGTTTGACAATAAGTAGTTACAGAATAAATCCACGAGTAGTACACAGTTAGATAAAATTTAGGAATTTCTGTAATAGACTATTAAAAATCAATTAGCACTTAGCAGTCCTACTTGTGTTGGTAAGTATTATTGAATGTTTCGATTTTAGCTCCCCATCTATTTCCAATACCAACAAATCCTTCATATGCGTTCATTCCACCACAAATAAAATAATTAGGTGAGATAGTTCGCATTGATTTTGTCATTGCAAGTGCTTCAGCATAGTTGTTGGACCTTTCAGAAACCTGTAAAATGCATGGTACATGAAAATCAGCTTGTTCACCCCAAAGTCTTAGGATATACTACATTTCCTAGTTTTTCTTTTAGACTCAGGTGGTTCATATTGTCGATAAGGAATTCGAAAAAATTGCTATTTCAAGAATTTAGATAATCGTAATTACCAAGTAAATTACCATTTTTAAAAATCATGATAATTCATAAAAAGTACAATCTAACAAGCATAGAATTTATGATATCTGTTGTAGATACTGTCTTAAACTCCTTGCAATATATTTCCATTTAGAATGTTCTAAATTAGAATCATAAGGCAATCCCAGTTATAGGCATCACTAATTGTACCTCATAACCGTTTTCCTGACAATATTAACATGAACAGCTTCAAGTCTCATGTTTACTAACACTCAATCCTACACTATAGTGTCAATGTCTCTTGTAATTGTAGTGGTCGTCGATAACTTTACTCAAAAATCAATCTTTTTGATTTCTGAGTGAGTGCGAGTGCCATGCCTAGAACAAATTTCCATAATAAGATGCTTCGTAGTAGTATTCCTATTATGGTTATTATCGCTTTGCCTCATGAACTGATCACTGTGTTTGGTTGCATTAAATTTTTAGGTATTCTATCATTACTAATATTAGACTCTGTCAATCGCAAGTTGATTTGAACATTTGTGATTCAAAATATGGGAATTCGAGCATACGAACCTCCCTGATATAGAAAACTGTTGGCCATGCTTCTCCCAATGCAGACAGTAAATTGAGCCACCATTTTCCAGTGTTCCTTTGATTAACTGAAAGTGTGAATGCTCCTGGTTTATAAACAGTTTGGGGACCAATCATGCCAGCAAATCCCACACCGTAAAACAATGTCTGAAATAGGTAAAATCATATTCTTCCTCGCCAATCAAACGTTTAACCATACATATTCAGATGCGCCAATTGTATAATATACCAAAAAACTGTGATTTCCAATATTCTGTCTTTTGGCGCCTTTGAAAAAAGAAGCCTCATAACTATAATATAGGACAGGGAAGATCAAGTTATAGGCTCAACACTCAATAGTCATTTGTTTCAAAAGATGGGTAGGCCCGAAATTTCAGGTTGGTGTCTGAATTGAATAACTGGTTCAATTATTCCCATCGACATAAACTAGTAAACAGAGGGTTAGGATTCGCCAAACGAATGTGCAAAAACAAGGAGACTAACTCAACCTATTTACAGAATATAGATAACTTACTATGAAAGTATTAGAAAAGAAATATTACCATTACAATGCGAAAAATGCGTCATACAAAAAAAAATTTCGATCAATTCTGTAACGCAGTAGAGAAATATTTACATACCTTGCCACCTTTTTGAAATTCCATAACAACCGTGATATTTCTCAGTATGTCCGCAAAATCAAAGTCAAAATTTCTTCCATGGATGATCTGACCCTCTCTATCCATTGTCACAATAGATGTACACATGCTAAAGAATAATTATTGCATTATGAGTATATTGAAAAATGCACATTTACCAGTGAATAAATCATAAATCTCTACTAAACAATAGGCCAAGTAATAAGAAAAAAAGTATATACTGGGTGACCCATCAATTTCTTAATTGGGCCATTTCAAGCAAAAGTTGAATTCCATCAATTTTTTAAAAAGTGTAGTGAAAGTAATTTATTTTGATATCAAAAGACATTGGAATTTTATTGGACTGCATTCATTTCCTCGAACAATTTAAAATTTCACCCAGGTTTTTGATGGTTTATAAAAAATGGCCTGAAATGTAGAAATTTTGGTATAATTGACATATTTTGTGATGATTTCTGACACAAAGTGTTTGATTGTGTGGTACAGTTATTTCATATGGAATTGACGCACTGGATTTAAGTTAATAAAGTTTAAATGTTTGCAGTGCTGAAGGACATTTCTTCACCCATTTAACGATTTATTACCAGAATTTTAAGAGATGATAGGGGCCCAGGGATGGCCATTTCCGAATACATTCTAAAATAATGTTTTCGAATCTGGAATTCCGAATACATTCTAAAATCGAAAATAACACATTTTTGTTTATTCGCTTTGTACAAACCATATGAAAAGATAGCCAAGGAGTTGTCTGGTGCTTTCTATCGTTGGTACCATGATATTACGATAATAGTCAAGTCTATTGACAAAAATACCACTTGTATTCAGATAATTGTGTATATTTTCTGAGAGTAATAAAATTTATTGGCAATACAGGCAACTGAAACAAGCAACAACAATCGAAAATCCATTATGCCTTTAAAAATTCTAATATTCTACTACCTACCAGTACATTTTTATATTAATTTATGTGAACCATATTTTTATTATGTGTAACATATTGTTGTGTTTAAGATTAGAAATAAATTAGTAGAGGATAGATGACCACCACTGCCAGCCAGCCAGGATTTTCGAAATCGGAAATTCCCATTACTGCCTGTAACACGCGATTCCGCGCTTGTTAAAAGAGCCGTTATTTCAGCGTAATATGATCATCCTATTACGTAAAATATTCAATCCATGACAACTACGAGATTCTAAAATATCTTTATATATTAATTTAATGTGTCCAACGTAACTCGCGGTTGCTTCTTCTTACGTCAAAAAAAAACATTACTATTCGGTCCACGGCGATCTGTGACCTGAAAGTACGAGATAAACTGCCTGATGTATTTATACGTATTTTTGCAATCTTGCAACTCGTTATCGCCGTTAGAAAAATCTCAAATAATGATATAAAATCCTGTTAAGTGTCGAGTATAATTCATTTCATACAATGAATATACATTTAAAGTTTAGCAGTAAATTAAAAATACATATTCATCGCCGCGATTATGCCACCTGTTAAAAGAGTCGACTTTTACAACAAATAATATAACAGCGAATATATATTTTTCTGTTGTGCAAAGTGATGAATTCGTGACCGATACGGGCATATTTAAAATGTCTTGCTTTATTAATATAATTGTTTTCAATTTAACCTGTGGTTGCGTCGACAAATAAAATCCTCACCACTCTTATATACCATTGCAATCCGCGGTCATAAAAATAACAACGTGTGGTAAACTGCCCGATTAAATAATGTTTCGATCCGTACTTTGCGAATTCGGCAAATATTTAGATGTACTTGTTAACAGTGACTCCGCTCAATCGAAATGCTGCCACTCTGATTATTTTTAGAACGTTTAACCGTTCGAAAAATCCATAAATCTGCTGTAACATCTCAGAGTAAAGATTATTTGATCACAATAAAATTGATTGAATATACTTTAGATTAATTATATTATATACATCCTCACAAGCCGGGAAAAAGTCGCGTTTCAATCCTTGTACCATGTTAACACGAAAATATTCGACGGCAAATCAAAGTAATGGATAATCAGGCAAATCCCGCCCTCAATTCGTGACGATATGTTTCTAAACGACGACCAAACATAATGTGTGCAAGAGGCATACGAAATTTTGCGATTTTCATTGCCTAGAAAAGCGTTTTTTAAATTTTCGCGGGCCTCAATAAAACTTATATTGTTTACGGTTTTATTTTCAGTATTTTAAATCGCCGCTTTCCAATCAAAAAGTTGCGTTGTCTTTAGAAACTCGCCGTCGATGAACGTATTTACCAGATTCACAATTCCGTGAGCGTACAGAAATAAAATAATTGTCATCGTTATCGTGGAACAAATTTGTGGAAAATTTTCGTTTTAGAAAAAATAACACGAACGTAAAGGCGTTTACGGCCTAAATAACACGTTACGCCGATGAGTGATAAAAACAATCACGCGCAAGTTTCTATCGAGAATGTTTTCATTCAACGGAAACGTCTTGAAAGCGGCGTCGAAAATGTGTGACGTCACACAAATATCCGATATTCTTATGAACGCTAATTCCGATATTCGAATAACGAGATATTCGAATACTTTATTCGAATTGGCCATCCCTGGGGGCTGCTATTCCGAAGTGGAAAAATGTCCTGTAGTATCACATACAATATGCACATTATTGGCATGGATTTACAGTGTTACATTAAGTAACTTGAGCAACACATAGAGGGGTAGTTCAGCTACTGCACCAGAAAATATTATGGGCCACTGCTGTGCCTGTACCATCGCAAAAATTTACAGCACAACACAACGTACTGTTAGTGCATGGTGGATTTGCCGTCCTGTAGTGTCACGCTAAATTTTACTATATTTTTTGTATCTACTAAGTAAGTCTTGGGTGCAACTTTTGTGCCATTTTTTTTCCATATTCAATAAAGCAACTGTTTGGATAATGAAACAAAACATGTAGCTGAAAATGTAAAAATATATTGCATCTAACAACATGCAAAATTTCTGAAATTATCCTGTAGTGTCACTTGGAATAGCCCAATTACTTCTATGGAAAAAAAATTATTTAACGCTTGAATTCCTGTTTTTATGTGATTGTACCCAAAAGTTTCAGTAATTTAGGATGCTTTGCACAAAATGTACATTTTCTAGAATATATTCTAACTGACCCGATTTCTGTTTATTTTTTTTGAGAGGGGGTCATTCTGTATAACATAAATACCAGCGGCGGGAAACATTCGAACAAATACCGTAATGGGCTTCCTGCATATGCCTCCATGTCATAGAATATATTTGCAAAAACAACAAGCCCAAGATCAATCTGGAATCCTTCACTTATTCCTCGTATCTCATCCGAATATGGCGGTGGAAGAAATCTATCTAAATCTGCAGCTATTTTCACAGCTAGATCTCTGATATATGGATTCTTTTCCACAGCTCTGTAAAAAAAAATAATGATATCACATTTGAGGATGAATCCAAATGGTAGGTATTCTAACAGTCATGGTTATATACAGTGATGAGCTGGAAAATCGTAACAACCGGAACACACCTAATTCGCAAAAATGTTATATATTCACATTCCACAACACGACGCGGACGTATACAGAACTGCAATGAAATTATATGAAATATTTTTGTGAAAAATTATAAGAGTATTCATAGCAATTCAATACAAATCTTATTATTAGAAAGGTAAGAATGAATTTTCATGGGGTCAAAGGTCGGGGAAACATCTATTACATGTTGCTGCTCTACTAATTATTTGCGTGATGTGACGTAAAAGACTTAATATGATGTAACAAAACATAAATTAATAACTAAGTTTACCAGAGAAACTAGACTTTTTATATCACAATTTTATTTCAACCACCGGAACGCAAATGCAGTGAACTGTCCAACAACCGGAACGTCGTTCCGGCTACAGCTCACTACTGGTTATATATGTGAAAAGCAAACAGAATGGCATAGGACAGGATGTGCAACAGGCGGCCCACCGGCCAGAAATTTTCAATTCGTTGTCTACATAAAAAAACTAAATTTTTTGTGTGGCCCAGCTAGATGTCTAAGGTTGGTTTATGGCTATCATCTTGGTGGAATATCAGATATGAAAGCAATAACAAAATAAGTGAATGAACCGGTAATTTATATTCAAAAGGTGATAACGGGTAACACCAATTTGAGGTTTTGAAAGGTCATGTGGAATTTCAAAATCGGACATGTCTAAAGAAAGAATTGAAATAATCACAATAGAGTTTTCGAAATGTGTTTTATTAATTAATTAAGTAATTAAATCATTGGACTAAAATCAAAAGTGTTTGAAAATAGATATATTGAAAAGATTCCTGAATTAGGTCTTGTAATTTAATTTGCACTTGTAAATGTGGATAAAATGGTGAAAAAAATCCTTTTTTTAAAAATAACTAATAACAACGTGACTTATCAACAACTAGTAATTTGAGGAAAAATTCATAATCAATAAAAAAAGCGTGATCAATGTAATAGACGCCCTATAACTATAGTCAGTCAGTCAGTCAGTAGTTTATTTTATCACAAACCGAATGTAAACATTGACGAACAAAATTGAAAAAAATGAAAAATTACATTTCAGTGTGAAGGGAGACGCGATAAACCAGAGAAGGTTGTCGAGCAGCGTCACCTTTGAGGCAGTAAGTCTAATATTAAATCATAATGAGAAAGAAGTCAAACATAAAATACTAACAAAAGCCGGACTTGGGACGCCATTAAGCGACCCGTTAACCCGGATAATAACGAAAGAAAGCAACTCCAGACACGACAGGCCGCGGTCGCCATGGTGACCGCATATCATTGAACAACCAACCAAGAGAGCCGGACTGCCGGTGGTTATTCTGTGGCTGCGCTAAAGATTTTTGTACCGGTATCGCATTTGAGAGGGACATAACAGGATAGTTTTAATTAATTTACAAGCTAAGCAATGTTTTAAATTCACACTCGTGGGGCTATGCAGAGGCTGTGTGTTGGGGGTAAATAATATATATACCATAACAAGAAGAAGAGTTAGAAATGGGAAAAAAAATAAATAAGAGGTAAGTTAAACATTATTCTGATGTATGCTAAGTGGTTGTTAGACCGAAACGTTGTTAGCGTAAAACATTACATGATACAAAAGATGCACATTATAAAGAATGGTAGAACCAGTAGGATATCATACTATGAAAGTTGAAACACAGAACTTGTGCATTTGAGTGTTGACCAGATACCACAAGGTAACAATCGAGCAATTTTAAGAAGTAGTTCACAAATTCAATAAAAAGAACACAACTTATTAATTTCACTGTACAACATATAATCTAAAAACAGAAATGAGGATGAATAATTAATTCACTGTGCGATATACTATAATAAGGTATCACAAAATAATTCAAGCTTTTAATTCCAGGTGATGTCGATTTGAGGGCTGTGGATCAAGTCAGGTATTATCTTGATAAACACGAAGGAAGGGTAAAAGTGTGACTTGACAAGTTCAAGAGGCCTGGTAAGAAGAGATCAGAAGATTTTTATATTTAAATTTGAAGGTCACATAGGATGAGTCATGTAGGTCTTGGGGTAGGTTATTCCAAATTAAAACGCCTTTGTATTTTAAAGAGTTTTGGGATTTGTTAAGTGAAAAGCGAGGTACAAATAAATTACGGTACTCTTTGTCGAGGAACGAGTGTTGTGGTCATGTACTGAGCTAAGTGTCACAAAGTAGTGCTCAAAAGCTGCTGGTAATTGATTGTTTTGGAATTGATGCATAATCTTAGCAATTTCTAGCTTATGGATATCAAGTAATTTTAACACTCTATGATTATGGTATAGAATGTTTAGGTTAGAACGTAAAGGTGCCCGGGAAAGAATTCTAATAGCCCTATTTTGCAGAATTTCTAAGTTGCGCAAATTTTTTCGAGATGTAGAACCCCATGCAGCAATGGCATACTGAATGTGGGACTGGAAAAGCGCGAAGTAGATGGTCCTCAGAGTAGAATCCTGTAAATAATATCTGAGCTTACCCAGAATCCCTACAGTCCTTGATAGTTTCTTATGCAATTCATAGGTGTGCGTGTTCCACTTTAATTGGTGGTCAATATTGAGTCCAAGATATTTAAAAGAATCGACTACTTCTAATTTGTTACCCTTAATTTCAACTGAGAGTTTTGGGTATTTGATGCGAGAGTTTGGGCTGAATACTATGATTTTAGACTTATCTATATTTACTGTTAGTTTGTTGCATAACATCCATTCATAAATTTTATTTATTTCAGTGTTCATATTAAGTTGAAGAGTGGCTGGGTCCTTTGCGTTGGCGAGCAAGCAAGCATCATCTGCAAACAATTTACTCAAGAGGTTCGAGCAGTTGGACAAGTCGTTTATGAAAAGGAGAAAAGCTAATGGGCCAACTACGGAACCCTGAACAATTCCGCAGTGGATGGGCAACATTGGAGATCTGTGTGGGCCTACTTCAACAAATTGGTAACGACCTGTCAGGTAATTGGATAATAGTTTGCCTGCATTACCTCTAAAACCGTAATGTTTTAACTTATGGGTGAGAATAGTGTGGTCCACAGTGTCAAAAGCCTTTTTTAGATCTAAAAAGGTCTATTTTATCATAGATAAATGAAGTCAAATCAAGTATGGCATGATTGGTTGAGTGTTTGGCCTGGAATCCGAATTGGCATTTGTTTATCAAATTAAATTTGGTACAATAACTCATCATTCTAGTATAAATCAACTTTTCCGCTATTATGCTAATTGAGGATAAAATGGAAATTGGTCTATAGTTCGAAGGGTTATTCTTTTTACCACATTTAAAAATTGGTATTACTCTAGCCATTTTCAATGAGGAAGGATATATGCCTAGACTAAACGATGAATTGAAAAAGTGACTTAGTACCGGTGATATAATATCGGCAACTATTGTTAGGAAATAGGAGGAAATACCATCGGGCCCAACAGCTTTACCCTTTTTCAGGTTCCTGATTACATAGAGAACTTCCGAAGGTGTTGTTAATTCAAGAAAGAAAGAGTTCTGCGAAGGTACACCTAGAAATTCGGTACATGGTTTTGAGCAGCGTGCGATTTTATCTGCAAGTTTCTTCCCTATGGTTGAGAAGAATTTATTAAATTCGGTGGCCACTTGAACTGGATCAGAAACTGTGGTACCATTTTCTAGTATCAATTCTGAGATGGTGATGTTATCTCTTGACTTAATTTTGATGATGTCATTGATGGTTTGCCATGTGCGTTTCACATCGCCTCTGTTGTTCACTAGAATATTATGGTAATACTGTTGTTTCGATTTTCTCTGCAAATGAGTTAGAATGTTTTTGTACTTTTTGTAGTGAAGACGCTGGGATGCATTTCCCTTCAGATACATTTGCTTGAACATATTATTTTTGTGTTTGATTGACTTATGGATTCCCCTGGTAATCCAGGGCTTAGAATACAATTTATTTTCTCTACGTGAAAGTGGGCGGAGTGGTGCATGTTTGTTAATTAACCACTTAAAATGGTTGAGAAAGAGATCGAATGAGCTATTAAAATTTTGTTCAGATAAGATTTCACCAATATAACGTTTGCACATAAGTCTATAAGTCTATAAGTCTTACTTTAAAGCCTCTTCAACAACCTTTAATACCTGATTTCTATCAAAATGATTTATGAGATCGGTCCATCTGAAACAAAATATATCTGATTAATAGAAGAGACAACAAAAAACAATATCCATTTATGCATTCGAAAACTCCATAGAAGTCATAAGGGTCAATTTGGTTAAAAAAATGATTTACCTTCTACCCAAGTTCATTGAAAGTTGACAATATTTTTAAAAAAGTGCAAAAATCGTTATGCTATGCCCACTAGAAGTGCTTGAGGTAAGAAACTACACAAGACCCGAAATAGGTGTATAACTTCATAAAACACTAGTTCATTTCTGTTATTTTTATAATGTTCTATATTTAGCAAATTATCTCTAAAATTAAATTCAATTTTAATGACAGAAAAATCAAAATTTTTCATTTCTAATCAGCACATAATAAGTATGTTTCGATACACAATACTTTAAGCTTAATCTCACCTATCTCGAGGTGGTAAGTCGAGATTCACAATATATGTAGGTGGGATATCTCCTTTAGAATCATATTCACGTGGTCGAACAAAGTCTTCACTATTTGCAAGTAGAGAACATTTTAAGCCCCTTCCAGCTAGCAAAACAACAAACACAATTGCAGACAATGCAGTATACATCAGCTCGGCTTGAAGGTAACCTTATCACAGTAGTTGAATATAGTAGGTACATTATTAAGAAAAATACCTTCTAAAGATGTATAGAGAGAGAAGATTAGCTTTTTGTATGATATCGTTGTTTATATGAAAGTTGTATTTGATTGATGACCATTAGCTATACCTGTGTCCTAATATCTGTAAATACAGAAATAATTACCCAATATTATACTATATTCTTCTTCTTCGATTCATGACTGCATGATAACACTGATATTTCAGTATTTTATTCTTTGAAAGGTACCATACTCAATTGGGGCACGAATCCAGAAACCGAATCAAAATCATAATACTATTGACAGCTATATTCACCTATTTTTCATCATGCACGGCAAAACGAAGAACTAACATAACTTTTAAAACATTTCTATATTAGTCGTTGGTGAGCAGTTACCTAGGTACCGGTACAAGTAATATAGGGTTACCATATTGGAAAGAGTAAAATTCCGGACATATTTTTTTATAAGACGTTATATCGCGCGCCGTTTGGCTTTTATGACGTCATAACCGCATATTTGACCCATGCAAGGTGCAGTCTGCCCAATTATAAAGTATGTAGGACTACTCGGTTGGAAGTATAATATTCGTATTTCAAACGTATTTTTCTTTTCGGTGGAACTATTCTTGAGCAGATATATTGCAGCAAGTTGCATAATGGTTGCACAATAAAAAAAAATCGAAAGTCGGGAAGGGGGAGCAGGTTGTGCACCGTTGCCCTAAATATAGCTACGGACCGTCATTGAAAAAATCTCAACTTTAATCTCAAATAATAATGACAATTAGGTTGTGCCGAACAGGGAAAACGAATTGAAGACACGCTTGTAAGTCAAGTCACTACAAATTTACTCTTCTGACCATGCATATTTTTCTGAAGATCTAATTCTCCTCAATGGGGCCTTGTCTGATTTTAAGAATGAAAAAAATTCACTACAGCGCATATTTTTGAAATTATATTGAACAGTCAATATGCCTTTCATGGTCGCAACGCTCAACTTGTTTCTCTCTTTAGTCCACTGACTTTGCATCAGGGAAAAGACTCTCTCTACATTGGCATTGTGGGATGTAACAGCGAAGAAAAACTGTACAATCCTTAAAATTTCTGAGTGGCATGTGATGTTCGTAGACTGATCGAAATATTTGCACCATTTCTTATGCGTTGGCAGTTTAATAAATTCTTCGTCCTGTACAAAACTTTCCACAAACTGCCTCAAGTTACAGATTTGGTCAAAGCACTTTGCATCGTCCACATCGACCCCTTTGCCAATCAGATATTCCAGGCAAGGCTCTACATCCTTCCAACTTGGTATCTCGTTCAAGGTCATTCATTTGAAACAAGTAAACTCTTCCATTGGTTTCATCCATTTACACAGGTACTCCAGGCATCTCTCATAGAGGTTTGCAATTTCGGAAAGAAAATTGTTACATTCATCTTCATATCCCTCTTTTCTTTTTTCATTTAAAAGCCTTTTAACCGTCAAGGACATAAAGCTTTCATTCTTCCTTTCCACAAGCACCTTATGAACCAGCTCCAAATTTTCTAGCACTTCTGCGACGGAATTGTTTTCTCACTCAACCACTTGAATACGTCCATGAAACACGGACATCAGTGAGTGCATATGCCAAAGGTATAACTCGCTCATTTCATTCTCAAAGAACCGTTTAATAACTATTGGTGGATGTTCTTGTGACAGAAAGTAGGACTTCAGGGGTGAAAACATTTCTAACAATCTTGAAATTCCAGGAAACAAGGAGAGCCAGCGAGTCTTGCTATGAGAGAGAAGTCTCTTGTATTCACAATTTGCAAATTTACAGTATTCTTTCAGTTGTTCAGTTCTAACTGTGTAAATAGAAAAATATTGATATATCTTATTGATATTATTTTCAATATCGATGTTCATTCTTTCAGCGCCATGATGAATACAATTGTTCAAAACGTGTGCTGGGCAGCCAACCCCAATCAATGACGGGTTTAACATTTTCTTTAACTTTGCAAACACATTGTTTCCTTGGTCATTACGCCGAAGTCCTCCAAACATAGTATTGCAGTTGTCGCCTTTAAATGACACACATTTTTTCAAAAGCATCATTTTTTCTAAAGTGTCTTTTATATAAGTGGCAATTGTGTCGGCAGTCTCGTTTGCCTTGTTTGTAAACTCAATCAATTTTGATTGCAAACCACCATTCCTCCAGTCAAAATATTGAATAATTGTAGGAAATAATTTCAGTTCATTGTGATTGCTGCCATCTGTTGCAACGCCAAAATACGCGATATCGTTTTCTTCAAAACTTTTCAGAACAGCATCAATAGAATATTGCGCAAGAACGCTAGTAACAACTTTTTCTGTCTTTGTGCGGCCGCTACCGAACTTCTTCGCTACATTAGAATCAGGGAAAATCTTTTTAAATAAAGCAGATGTACAGTCCATGGACAAAAAGCTATGATGATGCTTAACAGCGTGAAATGCAAGCGTACCTTCTGCGGCAGTGATTTCATCTTCGCATTTGCTTCCTGCTGTAGCAAAATAATTTGTCATTTTCGTTGATGCAACAGCCCCTCTTACTGCTTTGCGATGTTTTTCCGATTGCAGATGTGTGTTTAAATCACCATTACCTTTGTGCACGATAGATATATAAGTTCCTGATTTGCAAACCAAGCATTCTACCTCATAATCATTCCTGCCTTTTCTAAAACATGGATGTTTTTCTTGCATCTCGTTAGTGAATGTGCACTTTCTTTTAAAATTAGCCATTTGAAATAATATCTTCTTACAATAAATACAACCCAACTAAAATTTACCATCAGACTACTGTGAACCAAAAGGCTATAGGGTCTATCACTTTCGATCCCGAATTCCACAAGTAAAGCTTTGTGGTATAAAACTTTTGTATTCAGCTAACTTAATAAGGGACTAGCACTAGTTGCTATCAAATACACTTGCAGCTGCTCAACGAAACGGCTAAAAAGTCAGATAATAATAGTCAATCAACAATACTTAGCAAAGCTACTCAGTATAATCTATGCAATAAACGCAGCCCAGTCAGCAGTCAAAAATTCTGTATCAAAAATTCACTTGGCTTCCTCCTCTATGACATTTTAAGTTAATCTCTGATAAATGTGGGAAATCGCCTGCTTTTATAGATGGAATGTTCTAGTAACTTTTCGCAGCATGTGATCTATATCTAACCAATTCATATCAGCACAACGGTTCAAGAAAGTTCCAAGTCAGGGGTTCTCAACCTTTTTCCTGTCAATTTTTGTCTGTCAACGCGAACCTAGGGTAATCAGACACCGAACAAAGTTATGATATATTGACTATCAATTTGTTGCAACAACAATTCATTGACCTTATGTAACTAAATCAAATCTTCGTGTTGATATTATTGCCCTTGTCGCCTGCCCATCTAATGAATTCTTAAAAACTCCCCCTAGTTCCAATAACCATAATCTATTTCTCCAATGCTCGCAGTACGCTGTCTTTAGAGATTGCACAGTTTGCCTATAAAGCCGTGAATTTCACATTGTTGCGTCACAATCAAAACAACGCAGATCAGGAAAAATAAACGTTTCAATTGGTATCTATTTTCAATGGGCACGCATTTTCCTCTTGTAGTAATGAAGGATATTAATAAACAATGTTCTGCATTAGCAGTGTTCACAGAACGATTGCAGATGCAGTAAAATTCCGGACATTTGAGCATTTTTTTAAATTCTTTCCGGACGCAAAATTCAACCCTAAATTCCGGACATGTCCGGAATTTTCCGGATGGTATGGCAACCCTAAAGTAATACCTATTCCACCCAATCCAGAAGCTCTAAACCGCTATCAAATGAGGCGTGTGAAATAAACCTAACTACGCTGCGATTTGACTTTCAAATACAGAAATACATCACTTTTTATTTTGTAATCTGAATATGCAATTGTGGCACAATGACACTGGACACCATATATATTTCATTATGCTGAACCGGATTTCGCTCATTTCCTAATGATACTGTGATATTATTATGTTCTCGCTAGCAGCTTCTGCGCAGACACACACGCTCGCTAGATGTTTATTTTGACTCATCTACCAACACAAAAACAAAGTCCAAGCATAAGCATTATGCAACAACGTTGGCTGGTCCAACGTAATAAATCAATCACTTCTATTTTTTAGACCAGAGTCGGAATACAGAATAATAACCAAAGATATATAATTTCAATCTATGCATGTCACTTTTGGGACCCGGAAATGATAAGTCGATTTGCCAGACTCGTTTTATTGAAAGTATTCAAAACGGTTGACTAAATACAAATGAAATAATTAGCACCAAATAAATCAAAGACAAATGATACAGAATATAAAACTAATACTTACACAAAACAACTCCATATAACAGCATAGTCCCAAAACGACAGATATACAACCAAGGTAAAACAGTAACTATAAATGCAATACCATACGAGCTGTAGACATGCAAAATATCATAATGTTATATCGAACGATGTCGAATAGCAGTATAAAAGAAGACTATTGAATGAATTCAAACTTCAACGTTTATAAAGGGCGATGTAATATTAAACTGCCATAACAAGAAATGAAATCGCTAAACTGCTACCGACCAGAAATGCAATCTTAAACATCTTGCTGAGCTTAGGGGACGATAATAAAATAAATACGTACACGATAACACGTGAAAGAGAAAAATGCGACACGTCGAATACGAGAAAACAACACAGTAATGATGACGACGACGAGATAGCGATAATCATCACGATGACGATGTACAACTGGAAGGAATCTAACTAAACTAAACTTTAGGACCACACGGACTGCCGACAAAGCCACCCCATGACTATCCGCAGGAAGTCATTCTTCTAGGAGGCAGATTTTCGATGCGGGTCGAATATGTATGCCATTTATAGTTTTGACCGCGACAGTTCGGACTCGTCCGTCAGAACCAGGGTAAATTTGAATAACACGACCAAGTTGCCAACGTCCTCTCGGTGCAACGGGTCAGAAACGAGCACCAGATTTCCTTCTTGTAAGTTTCGTTGTTCCTTCCGCCACTTACATCGTGTCATCAAATTCGGTAGGTAATCTTTTCGCCATCTTCTCCAAAACTGATTACAAATAGCTTCGGTTTGCCTCCATCGTTTTCTGTAGCATAATTTCATCACGTCTGAATCCAGTGGAAACACTTCGGCCGAATGCCCTTTCAACAAACAATTTGGTGTAATGGCACTAAAGTCGGTTGGTTCGTCGCTCACTGTTGTAATGGGTCTACTATTCATGATGTCGGTAACCCTCGCAAACGCGGTCTTCAAGACTTCGTCGGTTACACGCACATTCCCCAGAACTGCTTTCAAAGCACGCTTTGCGGACTTTACTAATCTTTCCCAAACGCCACCAAAATGGGGAGCGTAAGGTGGAGTGAAATGCCATTCAATATTGTGTTTTAAGCACAGTTCTGCCACGCGAGATTCATCTATCGAGTTAAGGACGGTTTTCAGCTCTCGGGAACCACCAACTATATTTGATCCGTTGTCCGACCATATTTGGGATACAGGTCCTCGTATCGCAATGAAAGACAAAAGTACACATATGAAGGAATCAGTATCCATAGTCCATGCCATCTCAATGTGTACAGCTCTCATTGAAAGACAACAAAACAAACACCCCCATCGTTTCTCTAAAACCCTGCCTCTCTTTGTTTGGATCGGGCCGAAGAAATCCAGCCCGACATTTTCGAACGGTCTTGCTTCAGTAACACGAACTTTGGGCAGATTCGACATCAGTGGGGTTCTGCAACTTGCTCGCGTCTTTTACATTCCCAACAATTATCAATTATTCGTTTGACAAGTTTTCTCCCTTTTATATGCCAGTAGCGCTGTCTTAATGCGCTAAGCGTGGCCTCTGGACCGGCATGTGCGAGTCGAATATGAGCAGCTTTCATTATCAACCATGAAATTCGACATGGGCAGTTCGAATCACATTTCAAACTTGAATACGGCAGTATAATAGGATGTTTCGAACGCAGTGGGATATTGGCATTTTCAAGACGGCCCCCGACGCGGATCACTTGTCCATCGAAAAATGGCGTCAGATTAAGTAACGTTGATTTTGATGATAAATCTTCTCGTTAGTTATGCATTTGCGCTCCACGCGGAAATGCTTGTTTTGAGCAGAAACTATCCAATACCGGCCCGCGAGTTCCAACTGTTTAGGAGTCACAAGTTGAGCTGGCAGCGGGCTATACGTCGGACATTTCACAGAAAGATTCTTAAAATACCGAGCTGCCAACAAAACCACGGCAGTTCGTTTGCATAAGGAAAACCACGAATCAAAACGTTCGACATCGACGACCTTTTCGATTTCCGAATCAAGTACTCCATCGCTGTTATCCGTAGTTATAAAACAATCTGCTAGTATGCATGTTTGATATTTAATCTCTTGGTCGTGGTCGTCAACTGCACGTAACGCTATCTGGCTTGGCCAATCACTTTCGGGCATGAGCAAAAACTCTGGTCCATGTAGCCATCGATCAGAATTTTCTAGAAATTTGGAAACCGTCATTCCCCTAGTGCAGTAATCAGCGGGATTCTGTGCGGAGTCGACGTACTTCCATTGGTGTGGCCGAGTGTGATCGAGTATTTCGCGAACGCGATTGGCTACAAATGTTTTAAATCTTCGAGTTTTATTTTTTAAATATCTCAATACACAAGTCGAGTCGGACCACATATGTACGTCGCCTAGTGGAAGGGATAGTTCTTTTCGGAGAAAATTTAACAATCGCACGGCCAAGAGAGCACCTTGCAATTCTAAACGAGGCACGGTCATACCTTTCATAGGTGCGACTCTTGCTTTAGCCGCGATAAGACTACACTGAAAATTCTCCCGGGAATGCTTCGATATTATGTATGCTACCGCGCCATATGCCACTTCTGATGCATCACAGAATATATGAATTTCATACGAGGAACTTTCACATTTAACACCTTTAAATTGACGTGGAATCGAAAAACTCTTTAAACATTTCAGCGAATTTATCCAATTTTCCCAACACTTCAATCTCTTATTATCAAATACTTCGTCCCAAGCTAAGTTGTCACGCCAACATTCCCGCAGTAATAATTTGGCATACAAAATGATTGGTGCTACAAATCCTAATGGATCGAATATTGAACTGGTTACACTAAGGGCCTTTCTTTTCGTGGTAAATTCAGTAAATTTCTGGTGGTCGAATATAAAGCAATCCTTCTCGATGTCCCAATGCAAGCCCAGAGCTTTTCTAACAGGTAATCTGTCCAGATCTAAGTCAACATTAGTGACGACACGTCCACTGGATATTTCACGTAAAACCGATTTAGAATTCGAAACCCACTTGGTCAAGTTGAATCCTTTATCGTGTAACATCTTAATCATATCTTTAGCTGTCGATACCGCGGAATCAACATTCCATTTCGAAGTAAGTAAATCATCGACATAAAAGTCTCTATCGGTAGTTAATATTACGTCTCTAGGAAACTTGTTTCTACTATCGTACGCAGCTCTCTTCAAACAAAAGTTTGCGACATAAGGTGAATCCACAGCTCCAAAAATACGAACTAAGAATTTATACACATCTGGCCGTTTGGTTGAAAAAAGGTCTTCCGACCAGAGAAAACGTGCAGAATCCGTATCATCTTCCGGCAATCGAATCATATGAAACATGGCTTCTATATCGGCGCTTATAGCGATTGGTCTTTCCCGAAAACGTAAAAGCACCCCGACTAGATTATTGATCAAATCGCGCCCGGACATCAATCGACTGTTCAGACTGACGCCGCAGCAAGTAGATGCCGCGTCAAAAACAATTCTTAGTTTATTTGGCTTGTTGGGATTTTCAACGCCATGATGAGGCAGAAACCAAGTTCGAGGACCGCGAAACGCCTTTTCATCTGAAGTTAGCTTACGCACCCAACCCCTTTCAATATTCTTTGCCATTTCTTTACAATATAAGTTTCGCAAACGTTCGTTTCCTTGGAGTCGTTTTCTGAGATTTTCGAACCTGTTAAGCGCTACGTGTTCGTTTTGCGGCATTTCGCAATTTTCATTTCTCCACATAAACCCAACCTCGTAATGACCGTCGATAAATCTAATTTTTCTTTCCATCAAATTATCAGTTTGTCTATCTTCAATCGACTCGCTACGGGTCAAATTGTACGCCGTGCCTACAGCTTCAGTGGACCAAAATCGCTCGACTTGTTCTTGCAGCATGTTATACTGGTCACGCAAATCACAACACAGCATATTTGAAACAGTTTCATCTTCATTAGTCGCGCCTGAAGACCCGATCAAAGTCCAACCGAGAGGAGTTTTAATACCCACTGGTTCATGTTGCTGGCCGACTCTACGTTCAAGCTGGAAATGCGCCAAGGGATTATCGGCTCCGATTAAAATCATGGCTTTGTTCGCTTCAATGTCGGTTAACGGAATATCCTGCAGGTGAGTCATATTGTGATCGTTCTTAAGGATTCTAGCTGGATGTGGTATGCGTGACTCGACCACAAACACGTTGCTTAACATCAGAATTTGACCACTCTCGTCGTGAGCAGATCGCACCGACAATTTCACCACCTCCGTATTTTGCGAAACGCCCTTATTGCATAAGGTGTTAATGGTTAGACACCTAGGACTTCCTTTAAACCAAGTTTTTGTTTTAATTTGGGATGTATTATTGAGATTTGACTGGCAGAATCTAGAACAGCGATAGCATATTCAGAGGATCCCAATGGGCCTTTTACTACGACTGGCAAAAGCTGAAACTGAACACCATTAACGCCTGAAACATGAGAATTGGCAACGCCGCTCATATGAGGAGGGAGATCAGGCTGATTGTTATCACTCAATCTATTAGGAACGACTCTCAAACCATGGATGGCTGAATGATGCTTACCGGGACAAACACGACACATATTGCGGAACCGGCACGAAATAGCTAAATGTCCAGGTTCGAGACAGTTAAAGCACAGGCGTGAATTTAGTAGAAATCTTCTTTTCGTGTCATTGGCACTAAACCTGAAGCTATCGCAGTTACTTAAAGAATGAAAACCATTGCAATAGAAACATTGCATTCGCGGTTGTTCGAGCGGCTGATTTGAATGACCCGATAAAGGGTATACCACATTCTTCTTAGGAAATGCCTGTCTGCGATCGTCACGATCTATTTTAGTACTGAAAAGATTTGTGAAAAAGGATTTCCTAATTCCTCGCATCGTTCCCACAACCACTGCTCGAAGTCCAGTAAACTCGGCATTTCGTCGGCACGAATCATATCAGTCACAAACTTATTCCAACTCGAGGTCAGTTCTGCCGGAATTCGCATTGCTGTCTTTCTAACATTTTCAATACTATACAAATCTGCAAGCAATCGCATTTTCTTCAAATTTATCACAATGTCGCGAACTTCAGAATGAAAATCGGATATTTTTCGGATACTGAATTCTGTTACTCGTCTACCATCTACAACCTTCTCGAGAAAGGCCCGAGCAATCGTCACCCGTTGGCCGAATATATGTTTCAATTCACTCAACGCGACAATATAATTACTTCCCACCGTGCCTAAGCCATCGACATGTCGTTTAGCCACCCCCGTCAAAGACGCGACTAAGCGAACCATACGCGAACCGTCGTCGTCAAGAGAACTGTGTACATTATCAAAAAATAACTCAATAAAGTTTGGCCATTCTAGGGGCGTTCCGCTAAAACTAGGAATCGTAATCGGCGATAAATGGTGCTGGGACAATATTCTAGAATTCAACTGTAATGATAACATAGTTTGTTCCTCTACTGACATATTAAAAGAATTAACAGAAAATTTACCAGACTGGTTAGGTTCCAAGTGGTCAATCCACGCGTCGACTGCTTCTTGTGGTATGAGCATTCTGTTTGCAGGAGACGGGCGTTTGTAAGTTCGTGCTGTCGGGAAGTGCAATTCTTTGGTCTTTTCTGAATTTGTTGCCACTTGACTCTTCGTCGGAACAAAAAAGTTCGCTGCACTTCGTCTGCGTGTTGACTCTAACGGATATTCAATATTGACGCCACGGAAGTTATCTTTAGGCATCTTTTTGGTAGCCAATTCAGTCTTTTCTTGTTCAATTTCACGCATAAGTTCGTCAGCTTGGCGACGTGTTAGATCTGCCATTCGTTCTTTTTCGTTTATGTCTCGACGTTTGGTATCAAGGCGACGCTCTAGTGCTGATATTTTATTGCGAATGGTATCTTCTTCTGTGAGAAAGTCTCGTTTAGCCATACGTACAAGAGAATCGGCTCTTTCTACCTCTCGTTCTTGCTCAAGTTGCAATCGCTTCAGTGATTCAACACTGCATTTGCTTGTATTGGATTCGACAGACCCGTGATCAGAAACGATCTCCTCGTCAAGGTAAGAATTAATTCTGCTTTCAATTTGATCGATTTTCGATAACATCATTTGCCTTCCAGTTTCATATTTCTTCAAAACATTTGGATTACGGGTAGTCGGAATGAGTTTATCCATCACTTGGTCATAAGCAATTCGTTTAACATGAAGTTTAATTTTAAGATCAGTAACGATAGAATTTTGAGCATTTTCAGTAATCGATTTTGAAATTCTGTCGCACAAACCATTTAGTTCATTTTGTAGTCGGACTCTTTCGTGGCATAATACATTGCGTCCAATAGTTTCAGAGTTACCGTCGTCTGTTTCCGCGAGAGGAACTGCAGGCGAAGAAGAAGCTTCTCGTCTATTCAAATCTTGTGTAATTGATTCATCTGCTTCGTTCATCGTCGTCGCAAGGAGATTTGTTCAACTTTGTCACTTTTGGGACCCGGAAATGATAAGTCGATTTGCCAGACTCGTTTTATTGAAAGTATTCAAAACGGTTGACTAAAATACAAATGAAATAATTAGCACCAAATAAATCAAAGACAAATGATACAGAATATAAAACTAATACTTACACAAAACAACTCCATATAACAGCATAGTCCCAAAACGACAGATATACAACCAAGGTAAAACAGTAACTATAAATGCAATACCATACGAGCTGTAGACATGCAAATATCATAATGTTATATCGAACGATTCGAAATACAGTATAAAAGAAGACTATTGAATGAATTCAAACTTCAACGTTATAAAGGCGATGTAATATTAAACTGCCATAACAAGAAATGAAATCCCAAACTGCTACCACCAGAAATGCAATCTTAAACATCTTGCTGAGCTTAGGGGACGATAATAAAATAAATACGTAACACGATAACACGTGAAAGAGAAAAATGCGACACGTCGAATACGAGAAAACAACACAGTAATGATGACGACGACGAGATAGCGATAATCATCACGATGACGATGTACAACTGAAGGAATCCTAACTAAACTAAACTTTAGGACCACACGGACTGCCGACAATGCATCTGAATCGAATAACTTGCTAACTAATCCTATATACACAACATGAACTGGTACGAGACGAGAGGCAGTGGTTCGTCATATGATTAAGCCGTCTTATCGGCTTCTCTTTTCCCTTTACTTGGATAAATATGTGAATCCTATCATAATATTTATTAACACTCACAACAGATTCGGATGACTTAATTAAACATCATCGCAGGCATGGGTAGGAACATAGCGCCAATAGTACATTTCTACCTTTTCAGAACGCGTTCGTTTCGGCATACATAATATGGTTACATAGCATATATCCTTTTAAAATCCACGGTAGGCAATTTCTTGCTGTGACCGCGCCACAGACATTGTTGCGCACTACATTTGTTTTTTAATTTCGCGCTCTCGGCAATCATACCTTGCGGCATTAGCGAGTTGATTTGACCTCCTCATACTTCAGTTTAATTAAATTGCAAAACTAGTACTTCTTGATGCTTAAATTGCAGTACTTCTGTGATCGAGTTTAAAACTGTCGTCTGTGCGTAGTGAATATAATCCAAAACAACTGCCTTATTTCTCGGACTACGCTAAGGCAAACTTCCGAAGGCGACCATGATACATACAATGCTTTTAACCTCGCCAGGCGAAGGACGAATTCTTTCAATTCAAACTACCGCAATGACCAACCACAGTTGTAACGATTGAATACTGACATTATAACCTGCCCATCGATCCACAAAAATATTAGACATATTTCCACGCCAAACAGTTTTTATGGCAAGTTCTTGCACAACAACACAAACAACGAACTATAATATATAGTTTGTGGTAATGGAAATAGTAAGAATCAAAAAACAATTAAAACAAACAATTAATATAATAACAATTTATCAATAAAAATTTGTAGCAGCGAACATTTTCGTACAATCACATAAAATAGAATAAAAAACAGTGTGCCATTGAATGATATTTTTCCATCACATGCGCTTAAAACAATATAATCACAAAAATATAAACAAAACGAATTTATCATGAAAACATTCATATATATTAGTACGAAGGATTGCAGTTAATGGAAGTTTATGGGCAATTAAATATATAACTTTTCATCACTTTATTTGTAAAACATGTAAGGTTGTAAAACATAAAATCAACTTTACAACCATCTGTAATTCAGAAAAATATTAGTCTGTATATAATTTACACACAAGACAGTGAGAAGTTGGCGAAAAATAAACCCTACAAAGAGATTTCAAAAGTCCTAGATGAAGATACCAAATAGTCTGAAGATTATGAATCTCAGATTCAAGCAAGGTCATAGCAACGGAACTACCAATTAGGGGCTCCTGATTAGATTCTCACATGGATTGCGCAATATTGCGCAACAACGGTGAAATTATTTAAATCATCTTGTCATGAGTTAGTTGTACATACCTTCAGTTAAGCATTGAATTTAGCTAAGAAATATGTTATCTGTTCCAAGAATTTACTGTACAATTTTCATTATCATAGAGCAAATTGAATGGTGAATCTCATTGACAGAGGTAGAACATACCACATACTCTGACAGAAGAAAACCTACGATCGCCATCAAGATGACGAAAAGTTCAAATGCAGCGATTTATAGCAGAAAATGACAGTAGAAATTGACAAGAGATGCGAATTACAACAAGAAATTCTTTGTTTTCAATAAGTAGTTCAATAATCAGTGGAACAATAAATCTTAGTATCACGAAAGAGCTTCTTATAAGCTCAATAAAAAACAAAAAAATATTTAAATGCAGCAGTACTGGATAAAAATCAAAATATTGCAATTATGTTGAAAACCCGATTTATAAGATATCATATTCTATTTCAAGATTTCGATACATGTTCACAGCCTATACCACAGTGAACTGGTATTATATGGATCAAGAACAGTTCTTTATTGTATCAGGTTGAATGACATTTTTCTATCTGGAACCAAATTGCCTCAAAATCAAGGTAATGTTTAATTATAATTTGGAAAAGCCAGAGGTTGAATCGGGGCTGAAATTTGGAAATTTTTAATAAATGAATTACATGCTTCTTATGAAACTCTTATAGTATATAACAGTCAATACGTCAGTCAGTACGTCCGGCCCACATCAATATAATACCTACATCACACAGCAGTATGGTGCATATGACTGATGGGATGTTTCAATAACAGTAGTACTATGAAAACTAATCACATAGAGAAAAATATGTAGTGCACTTCCATACAGTTAAAACACTTATGCCGATATGTACGAATAAAACCTGAATGAAAAAATATATTCAAAATTAAAAAGGTCAGTTTTACTATTAGTAAAATATAAAATAGTCTTTATATACTGGACTATCATACTACCCGGCCAGCAAAAGAGTGAAAAGGGTCTTTCTGCACGTATCTTCACATACTGTGATTGAAGTTAAATTCAAAATATTATCAGAATATATTGTATGTTATATAACAAGGGTGGGAAAAATATCTTACAATAGATCTAAACAATGGTCGGCAAACTTTATGTACCACTGGGCCAAATATACACATTTCCGGTAGTGTGCGAGCCACATCAAATGTAGTCTATGAACAATACGCTACATTAAACTTCAAATTATGATGCACCTGTGATTTCTATTTCTGTTTTAATTACAGTAATTAAGGCTTACAACAGCCACGGTTACGTTATGACATATATATGTGCGCAGATCATGATAAGTTTTCGAGAAACTTTTGTTTCATGCATTGAAACTTGAGAGTATAGTCGTTAAAGGATCTTGTTAACCTTGAACGAAATCTCATTCAAGAATTTTTTCCATAATTGATTTTTTATTTTTCGAAATGGTGGAAAAATTTATAAAGTATTTAGTTACAAGTTCTTCTAGCTTATTGTGATATCATTAAAAACAAAATAAAGATATTTTATAGAAGGGAATTTATATTCCTGACAATTGTCACTTGAATTTCCTGGGAAAATAATTACAGTGGCTGTATGGCCATCTAAAAACTGATAGGGAGATGGAAAAAACAGAAAAAAAAAAGAAAAAAAAATGTAGTATTTTTGCAACAAATGTACCCAATTAAGCAAAATATTCTACAGTCCCACTAAAATCAAAACAATTATTTTTATCTCTCAATTAACTAACTAATAAGTGCATGACATGGAACATCAATTTAAAACCTGCAACATATAATCCTTTCTAATAATTTTAGTGAACAAAGATCCCAAATATAGACTTAAACAAGACTAAAATCAGTTTTTCGTTTTAAATAGATTATTCGGCACTCCTGTAGTATGCAAACTAAGATGGCGAACACCGGAACATAGTATGTGTACCAGGTTAGGGTTAGGCTATAATTTCAAGTACAAATTTTCCTGATTTTAGTCCTATTACGAGTTCGGGGACTAGCCAAGTGACTTCCGTAGTATTTGTACCTGAAATTATGGCATAACCCTAACACATACCGGAGTACCGAGTATTCACATTATGTCAATGAGAAAATTTTAATAAGAACATTGAATCATGCAATCCAGATTGTGAGTTATATAGCAATTCTAGTTTTTCAGTACTAAAATATACTGTGTTACCATACTATTATTAAAATATATAGGTCATGCATCAGCAGTCGGCATATTTTTTCTCGTTACTTGAAACAAAGAGTTTTTTTTTTTGATGTACCAATCCGCATTTTTCATTCGTTTGCAAAATATTTTTGAATCTGAGTTTAATCTTCCTATTATGATCAAGTGTTAACATTTTGTATCATCTTCGTACATTTGCTGCATGTGTCTTCTATCAATTTGTTGACTTACGATCACTCATAGATTTAATTTGATTCACTTTCGATTTTCTGAAAATGCTTCACCTTGTCTTCTTCTTCTGTCTTTTTAACATCATAACCTAAAATTTAGAGATTTTACATACTGCATAACTTACAATCATGATTTCATTTTGTAAATTTCTGTCATTAATTTAAAAGCTGTAAACTTACTACAATAAGATTCAAAAATCAGTATACGACGAATATATCTTGAAATAGTAAAAATTTTATCGCATGGAAAATATGTTTCAATTATTCAACTTTTTTCTAGAATTTGTCATTTATATTAATAAAAATTTGTTGCTAAATTTTAGCAAATATAATTCGTTTTAGATAATATAATTTTGATATAAAATAGTTTTAAATGATTCAGAGGTTGATGAGTATCCTTCACCTCCGACAGAGCATGACCCGCTTTCCTTTAAAAAAAACATCACAATACCTGCAAAGCTGACACAGTGATGATAATTTGTCCTGGTGGCTGTAACCAGGGTTCTCCGTCTACTTGAACTGCCAACTCAGATTTTAAATGTAGTCTTATGTATTCACCCTGAGCAATACGGAAGCCATTTCTGATTCCGCTGTACATTTGACTCTGTAACAATAATGTGAATGTAATATCTGTAATTTTGTGAAAACTACAAAAAAGATGAACGTATGAATTGTGCAGGAACCACTTGTTTATGCAATTCGATTCAATTGAATAATGTATTAAATAATTAAAAAGCAATTTGAATTAACAAAGAATTCAAGTTTGACAAGGTATTCTGCATCATTCTTTATCATGCAATGCCATTCTTTTAGTTTATTTAATTTTGAGTATTGTGTGTGTATTTTCAGCATGGTCAATAATAAACTATTGGTTACTGATTATCAAATATTGAAACATGATCAATCTTTATTGCTACTAGATAAAAGATTGTTTATGACAGTATCCCTTTGACGTACAAAACAGTAAAGTTTTAAAAAGGGAATGCAGAAAAAGAAGCGTGAACAAACATTTGCCATTATTTTATTGTAACAAAAGATATTGAGCCGGAATGTACATGTATATCTGAATAGTTCGTCATTGTAGAATTCTATTCAAAATTTATTCCAATTGTGTATATTCTTAAGAGATGTTTCCAATTATTTCAACTGGGTTTTCTGTAAACCTTCAACAGATAAACAGTTTGTATACACTGGGCCCACAACACTACCCATAACTAAATTGAATCAGCTTCACAAAACTTTGGCAAATTGCATTTTGTCAATAAGGTAGAACAATTATAACTAGGAACCAAATAAATTTGATGAAATCATGTTTGGAAAAAAAAAACAATCAACTAAAACCAACCATATGTGCCACTCCACCAACACCGACAACTTCAAGTAACCCATCACCCATGGATGGGTTTTTGAATCTCCTGCTCACACTTGAACCCCATGCATTTCCACCACCTCCCCAGCTAAAAAATAAAGAAAAAATAATCGAATTATTAAAAAGTCTATTATTTTCTATCGGCATATAGGATCAAAGTCAGTGAAATAATAGTATATATATAGGGTTGTAATAGAAGGCATAAAAATTTGATAGTGATCAGAAAAAGTATATTGGAATAAACTCGCAATTTCGAAACAAGTTATTCGCCCAAAGATATTCTGTTTGCACGATGACTCAGTAAGTTTTAGACAGGTTGAAAATATTTCGTTCAAATCCCAGGATAAAATAGATAAGATGAGGTTTCGGTCTTTCCAAGAATAAAGTAGCTCTTTACAAATCAGTGGCTGGTAATGCAGAACCTTGTTTAGAGGGGAACGTTGTATAACAAACGTTTAAGGCACTCTAGATATCTGATCTAAGCAAAGAGAAATGAGATACAGAACAAAAAAAACAAACTAAAATCACCTTGAAATGTTGCAAAAAATGAGTCCTTTTATTGAAGAAGAAAGAGGAAGCTTTTGACCATCGACTTCTAAATCTACGACGTTATTTAACGATGTTGATCTCGTTGCTAATTTCTTCAAACCAGCCTTTAAATATACTGCTTTATTATGCAATCTGAAAATAAAAAATATTTTTCAATCTTGAATAACAGGAAAAGAAGCTCAACAAATTCGAAATTTTTTAACTAATGTTCTAACCATGTTTACGTATTGGAACAATTTAATCTGGTGATAATCCAGGTGGCCTAATCCAGGGTGTAATTGATTGGGTAGGCAATGCCAAACTGAAAAGATTCCAAGTAGTTCTTTATAAATATTGTAAGATAGTAATGGCTGCTTGCACAGGGCTTCGTTCAGTGCCAAAGACATAAACGAGAATATCGGTCAGAGACCGAAGACTTATCAATCGAAAGTTGGGGGATCTTCAAAACAGCGCTCTTACTCTATAGTGACACCTTGTGTCCCATCATTAATTGATTAATAACTCGCTAATTATACGACATAATTCGTCCAAAGTCAATAGGCTTCTGGTCCGAGATATGATGAATGCACATGCAAGATCTGGAGCAGATTCAATCTTTCGTGAGATATCACGTGCATCTAACAGACAGACAAACATACAGACAGACAAATACCCATCAACATACTTACCGATTAAAATCGATAAGTAATACGCACAGTGTGAAAATTTTTTTGATTATATATTTATATATAAATGACATTTTTTGAACAAGGCTCTGCACAAGAAACCATTGATATGTAAGAAGCTGCTGTTCTTGGAATGACTTGAATCTTTTCGTTCATCACTGACTTCAACTTATTTTGTCCTGGGTAAGTACCGGTAAGTCTAATGGTCTTACCACTGGACCTCCTGCCCACTTAATTTAAGCAGTGGAAACTTGATCTGCATCAAATATTAGTTAAATAGACATGCATTATGATTTCATCTCACGATTAGGTATTTCTGTATATGAAAGCCAGGGAGTGTTCAAGTTTGAAGGCATACGGATATTTTGGGGGATATCACTCACCTGCTTGAGAACTTTTCTGGATTTTCCTCTCTAGCAATATGAAACGCAAGACTGACTTCGGCGTCGATTCCAATTCCAAGATAATTATTCATTGTTACTACTTTCGGCCCTGATGGTGCCTGTTTAATAAGCATATAAAATGGTAATTAAGTATATTGTATATTTTAACCAGTCAAACAATGGACTATTAAAGAATGTTTTTTGCTATGTTGAGAGTATTTCACAATAAAACAGGAGTTTTATAATGATTGAAGAAACAGTCCAGCCGGTGTATCGACCCACTGTGGTTCAAGATGGCTCCACCAACCTGGACTACATGATTGAAAGATTTCAATTAATTGTAACGAATGTCCATCTGTCAAATTGTATGTTTCAAATTTTTATAAATTTAACAAATTTTATCAAAAATGCATAAATTTTCATTGACTAGTACCGGTACTTGTTTGATTTATCCCACCATATTGGGATGAACTGATTTAGTAAAAATAATTTTGTATTTTCACATCCTATATATACAAAGGTCAATCCAGCTAATAACATATCCATTGACTTAGCAAACGAACAATAAATATTTATCGCCAAAACAAAAATATGGATTTTTCCAATCCATCATAAATCTAGATAAAGAAAAAGTTGCTTCATTTCTTTTAAAACAGAATCAGTCAGAGACAAGCCTTATGAATTATTCATTGTAGAATCAAAGCCGAAGACTTTGTCTAATTTCAAGGCTAATTACCTACGTCCTTTGGGATTTAGAATACAGCCCTATACAAGGTTCCGGTATTGATTATTCGTAGTTTAATTCATTAAGACTGAAAAGGGCAGAACTAATAATCAGAAAAATCCTATTTTCAAGGTAACTTTATTTTGAAACCTACTATTAATAAAGTTATTAGGGATATTGATTATTTGAAGATTGATTTATTTGTAACTACGATTATGGATGGCTATTTTGCCTAAGTATTTTTTTTCTAGAACTTCGCCTATGATTACTTCCATTTAGTTTTTTTCAATTTGTGTAGCGATTCCTTGCACGACGAAATACATGTATTGTCTATTGTATTTATAATCAATAAGTGAATAAAATTTTAAATAAAACTATGATAAAATTTTATCAAATCTTCATTTCAGCTGTGCTTTTTTTGTACATTCTATGTCACTCGCATATAAGTCGAGTTCAAAACTCCAAAACTAAGTTGCCAAACTAAGGGGCCGGCTTATATGCGCATAACTCAGATCGCACTACAAAATGAAATGACATGTGATCGCTATCGCCGTAACGCAAATAACACCTCCGACTTCTTCACGATATTACATACATTATTTGGAGCTTTGAAACACCAGCGTTAATAATCTGTGTCAATTTGGATTGTGTTATATATATGAGAATTTGAATCTTGACCAAATACTCAAGATAGAATTGAAAAACTAAAATCAGCAAATACAAATCTGCTTTAAAACATATCTTGCAACAGGAACTATTGCATTTGCATCATAAAGAACATTTCAAATAGTTTGGTTGACCAAGGTCTAATCACTTTTTAATTAACTAAGATGAGTTTATTAACTTTAATTTTTATTAGTATTAATTATCAAATCTGTCTAATGATTGCTAGAACCAACAGCACAATTGCGAACCTATAGCTGACGTAAATTGTTGTTGTCAGGACAAAAACAATTGGACCAATCACTTTTAGGCAATGCACTCACTGTTTACGAAAGATTCACATTTTTAATTCAAAAAACAACTTCTTACAGAGACAGGTGTTTCTTCTTCTTCAATTTCCGTCAGGCCATCATTTGACGTTTTGTAAAAAAGGTTATTTTCTGTTATCAATGGCAATGACATTTTCTTTTTGTAACCTCGATTTCTGCCAGTATCCTCTAACGAAGTAACTGCTCTTTGCCGAGGATCATCACTGTATCGCCTATGTTTGAAGTTGAAAAACGAGGTTTAAAAAAACTAGTGGCCTAGTGGTTAAAGCATTAGAGGCTTAACAATGATGGTGTTGCAGAATAAACACTAGTTCAGATATAAATAGTGATATAAAATTGGAAAATGTCTCCCGTGCCACAACAGCTATAACACACTCTCATCTATACGTCATATTGAAATGACATTGCCATTGCCCAGAAAGATTTTTTATAAGAATACCCATAAATTTTTTTACCTATCGCAATTATATAAGTTTGCTGTGGTAGAAGTGTTGACCAAATCATTTCCTATATTGGAGGCATCTCCTTCTAACAGTGGCATAACATTTTCGGTCAATGCTGACTGTTCTATTTCATCATCTTCAAGCTGAGACGTTTTAATCATTTTATCGAGTTCCGAATCAGCATTATCACTCGTTAATAGAGTCATTAATTTTTGTTTATCGTTGACGATATCTGGTAATTCTGATCGTAATATCTCGACCAAATCTTCTTCCGCTTTTTGTTTAGCAATATATTCATCAGGAATAGCGGACATTGAGTCAGGATTGTCACATTCTTCTAAATCGCCCATCGACTCGATGCTATCGCACCTTGAAATGTGGCTTAATTGACGGAGAGGACCGAAAGGCATCGTGTCGTTGTCTTCCAAAATATCACTTGAACTAAGAATTTGAAGTTTCCTGTGAGCGGATTTACGTTGAGAATCTAAAGAAGGGAATACTTCATGGTATTAACATGAAAAATGCAAAGGAATAATCCATTAGGAAAGTAATTATACACCGCCGCCATGTTTCTTGTGTATATTTAAAAATTAATGAAGACCCATACCATACATTTTAATTCCATCAAAGAATGCCGTTGTATTAGGTTTATGACTATAAGTACCAAAAGGGAATATAATAATAATATTAAAAGTGTCGTTAGAAAGTCACATTTCATGCAGAATGTGGAACACTGTAATATTGAAAATAAACTTCATCAACAAAAACAAAATATAGAAAAAAAGTTCCATATTGAAATTATATTTAGCAAATGGGGACGGTGGTTGAGGCGTTAGACTTAACTGTGATAACATTAGTAATTAAAATCATGGGTTCAAATCCCATGCCCGCCACCTCACCCGGGGTGTAAAAAATGGGGTAGGAAATGCCGAACCAGGAAGATTAGGATCCTCTCAAACTATATTAGCTGTTTACCCTGCAGTGATGACCTGTGCAGTGCCTTGTTCAGAGAAAAGTTGTATAGGAATTAAAGACTTCCAGTTGCTCGACAATTGATACAACAACCGATTTTCAAGAAGTTTGGAACTAACCTTTCACAGAACTTTCATTTTTCTTTTTTGTAACTGGTGAATTCTCACTCATAGTTTCTTTATTTTCGACAGTATTTACTTTATCATCGGTAGATGCTTTAAATTTAAATTCTTCCAAGCTTAAATCGGATGTAAATCTTTCTTCTAAGCCTTCTGAATCATTGTCGTCACTGTTATCTAGTGAGAGAAATGCATACAATAAAAGATGAAACCCAATATTATATTTTCCATTATTAATCTGTATGGCAGCGATTCCCAACCGGGGGCCTATGACCAACCAAGGGGGCCATAGAGCAGTTGGAGGGGCCACAATGCTAAGCGTAAAACTGATTTTACTTTTCTCTTCACATAAAAAAAAAGTACCTCCTAGATTCATTTCATGATAAGATTATTTTACAGGGTGTTTTCACTTTGTTGAGCATAAATTGTTTTGAACTTAATGAGATTTGGAATCTACCAATCAAAATAACACTATAAATACTACTGGATTGATAAACAGGTGGGCCATGGATGCTAAAAGCCTTTGGAAGGGGGTCGCAGGCTATGAAAGATTGGGAACCACTGCTCTATGGCATGGAGATGTGCAAATTCTATTGGGCATCAACACCAACAAAATTGCTATTTTATACATTCCTACCCTAACTATAAAATTGGTCGAAAAGTAATAAAGTCTCTCAAATAAGTTATGTGACTTTCACCAACTTGCAAAAAATTATATTTTTTTTAAAAATATGATGTCAGATATAGGAGGTTTATAAACGTACTTGTTTCACGTTTGTTTTCTTCTTGATTCTGCATCGGAGGCATCGAATTGGTCATCTGTGGCATGGCATCAGTGTCACTAAGGGATGACTCGGTGCCATTGGAACCATGATGAGAGTTTAATTCACTTTTTATTTCCTTGTTTGCCTCAGAAAATAAATCATTTTTTGGTGGCAGTGAGCTGTTGTCAGACATTATTGTTTCTGTTTCGGAAACAGTTTGCAATTCACTTGATTCAACTTTTATTTCCTTATCTGAGTCCTGAGCTACTTCCCTTTCCTCTGGTACCACGATGGTGTCATGTGGCACCGAGGTGGTGTCGCTCTGTTCTGATTTGCTGTCACCATTGTTTTGTTTTTGAGCAATCTCATTTTCAACTTCTTGATGAGCTTTAGGAGCTATGTCAGATTCTAGTGGCATCGAATCGGTGTCAGGTGGCATGGGCTTGATGCCATGATTGTCACCATTTACCAACTGTGAATTGAGATTGTTGGAAGTGTTTAAATTTTCAGGTTCTTCTTCAGTAGGTGATAAAAATTTATCTGCAGTTTTCCACTCAACATGGTCTCCTAATCCCATAATAATATTGACTCTCGATCTGAAAATAGATAATATTGATTAAAATGCGTCCATTCTCTACGTTGCTTGTCATAGACTATATATTCGACTTTTGGCGTATTACGCTATATGTTATGCTCGCTATAATCCCCTGACTACCCTGTGTTGGGTTCTCAAGTTTGAATTCTGTGGTGATAATTATTTTCGGTGGAATTGCTGGATTGGCAAACTGTGGTTCACACAGACGGCTGGTCAATTATGGCTTCCTCCACTATGATGAAGTCCATGCATCTGAAACAAATAACTAGCTAACAATTTCCGTACCTTCCAGGACTAGTAACTAGGGATGGGACGAGTCCGGCATTACAGAGATTCGACGAATCCGAGTAATAGGTCAAGGACTCGAACCGAATCCTCCGAGTCCGTGAAGTAAATTAGTAAAAACAGAATTGATTATAGACTCGGTAAAAACGACGTGGACTCGAAATCGAATAAGAGTCCAAATAATGCCTGGATTCGACTCGAATCCGAGTCCGGATCCGAATCCCGGCCCATCCCTACTAGTAACTGACAAATAAGAGAGTTCATAGTTTGTGGTATGACTAAGCTGTCTTATCCCCTCTTTCTCCCCCAGGGATAAACATGAAAATCCATCATATTCATATATATGAATTATCTATATCTACGGCCCATACTTGAAAGTAAACTATTTCTGAGATGAAAAAAAATTCAACCAGAACGTCTGCCTTCATGAAGTACAGGGTGTTTATTAGGTCCCATTACACTTTTGATTTTGTTATAGAATCAGTTCTCAATATATCTTAATATTTTTTATAAACAGAGTTTATTTCGGGTTTACTTCATTTAATTAGCTGTATGGGACATCAAACTAATATTGGTATCGATTAAACCCATTTTTCAATTTAAAAATTTTGTTAGATTTTGGATTTTATATTTTCGTTTTAAAAAAATCAATGAAGTTTATTTAAATGACCTTCGTGGATCAGCTTTACAAGTACGTTGAAGCGGTTTATGTCCGTTGACCAGTCCGTTTTGTTGTTTTCCAGTTTGTTGATTTTGCAGATTATTGTTGTGCGCATGATCTTCTGTAGGTTTGTTTGAGTTTTTCTGATGCTTCGTTGACGATGTGGTAGAAGGTGATTCTGGCTGAGTATCAAATAATATCGTCCATCTGTCCATTCGAACAGGATTTGCTTCTTGAACCTGTGGAAAAAATTTGCTCCCTATATGAATATATTACTTGAACAAAATTTGGAATTGAATGGCAATTCGCACAGATTAGTACAATCTTTTGATTAGTTAATTTTTTTAGACGATATAGATTTTGTTTCATGCTTTGAATTCATTCTAGTAGAAATTATGAGAGGTTGAGACCGGAAATTTCCAACGCCGAAATCAATTCAAGAAGATCAAAGCAACATATCATCTTAATTTGAATTGCGCAATACTGCGTTACTAAGCGTTTATACAATTTTTTAACATGACACTTATTCGTGCCATTCGCCCTGAACAAATTATAGTACAAAATTTTTTTTTTTTAAATTGAACGGTCTTTTTTATAAGCCTATTTCTATATTTTCAACACTCTTACCCTTTCACCTTAAACCCCCTATCTTGGATTAAAAAGTTCTTGTAAAATGTTAATCCCATAATAATAGACATTGAAAGGTCCGAACGCCTTTTGATTCATCACCATTTTGGATTTAAATACTTTAATCAAGCCACTGATATCATGCATCATAGAGGAAAGATCTATATTCTAATTCTAACATGAGATATCTCAAGAGAATTCAAATGATTGTTTATTCTATTGTGATGTCATACCTGTCCAAGAACAGCTGTCATGCTTTCGCCACTCCAACCTGATCCAAATCCTAGAACTCTTGCCAAATCGTTTCCAGTCCCGAGGGGCAAAACGGCAATGGGTGGTGTTTTACATGTAAGATGTCTGTGAAGTTGTTCTAGGGCAGACAAAACCCATCCTGCGGTACCGTCGCCCCCACAAACCAAGATACGAAATCGTGGTAGTTTTCGGAATGCGTATAACCTGAAAACGTGGATAAAATACTGTATTATTAAAAACGTAATTGAAAAATTTTCAAATCCATTACTGAAAATCTGAAATATAATATTTTTTCACTTGGTTCATCAAATTAAATTTAATTCATCTTCCAAAAAAGCTTGGCTTTCATTAGAGTCTAGTGGTTTAGCGCTAGTCATAACACATAATTATGATGACATCGCAGCCTCGCAGGTTAAATTGCCGTGCCCACCATCTCACCCAGGGTGTAATAAATTGGGTAGGTAATGTTGAACCAAAAAGATGTCATCCTTCCAAACTATGATAACTCCTTAACAAGCAATAGCTGCTTATGGAGAGACTTGTTCCGAGACAAAAAATTACAAATGTGTTACACGAAAAATATTACAAAAAACTACACGTTGTGCCAATTTTGAGTACTTAAAATTTGAATTTGAAACAAATTTGAAGTGTACAAAAAATTTAGACATGGATGCTTTTACATTAAAATTAGGTTCATAAAACTGTCCGTGGAACATCCAAATTCAATTTCTGTCTGTTGTGTTTCAAATTGTCTGAAACATAAGAAATATAAAATGTGCCGAATCCAAATTGATTAAGGATTAAAATGTACCACAGACATATTATACACTATTCATTCATAATTACCTATCCCGAAATTAACATTTTATTCTTATTGAGTGAATTTGGATGTTTATTTTGATGCGAATACTCGCATTGTGGGCAATGCCGGCAATCAATTGGTATTTTCCTTGCAAAGCAGAAACGGAAGAATCGAAACCCAATTCAAAAATATGTAAGGTTAAACAGTCAAACAAAATGTCATCCAACGAAATAACTGAAATTTTAGTATGATTTCAGCATTATTGATTTTCCAATTCAAGCCAAAATTATCATAACATTAGAATCTTATTACATCAGCACGACAATGTGGTCTATAATACCAAAATAGATGAGATAGTATCAATCATGAATAGTTAAACGTGTATACACCAGTTATTTATAAATGTCTATGACATTTTTGATTGTGTTAAACGTCATGAGAATGTCATATATGCAAAATGATATGAACCAGCGTTGTCAATAGATATAAAGCATAGATGAATAAACTCAATCGATCAAGCAAAGGCGATATGAAAGTTGATCAATTATGTATGATTCATCGATTTCCCTTGTTTGATACGATGAAAATTTATTTTGGATTTGATATGAATTCTGAGTATGTGCATGTTTTGACAAAATATTTATCCTTATTACAACTGAAATCTAATTTGAGAATATTAATGATTACAGCTGACGAAATTCATTTGTTATTTGTAACAACAAAAAGGCAAAATGTGATTCCTATGGTTAGGTGAACAGATAATACGTATAATAATCGACTTTAATAAAAATATTTAAAATATCCATTTGCTTTTATAAATTAACAATTTTGGATATAAAAACATTGTCATTTATAAAATATTTAGTAATATTAAGATGACGGCAAAAATAATGGGTAATCATATTACAGAATTTTCCCTCGTCAAGCGAAAAGGTATTTTGGGAATTATGGCTCAGGTTACATCTAAAAACAGCTAAATCCAAATTCCAAAAATATTGAGAAATGACATTTTCAAATATATATTTTAAAATAGGCCATGTTCAATAGAGCATTTTACACAAAACAATTCCAATTAAGAGACACTAAATTTGACAATGAAGAATGTGTTAGATAAACAGCGTTTTCATAAATATTTCATTTTACAGGGTAGGAAGTTGAAATAGGTTCATTATGTGCCATCAGATATCAAACACTCAAGACCAAATTTTCAAATGTAAACATTTCAAATTATTTCTGAATTCAAGAATTAACTACCGTATATTATCCTTGAATACCCTATCTCAAAAAAAAATTGCCAAACTGAGGTGTCGGCTTATACGCACATAACTCTAATCGCACTAAAGAGTCTGCTAATGGTTATCCTTTTCATGAATTCTCTTCTGCGACCATTTGCTGTGATTACGACGTGTTACGATTTGTAGGGTTGGCTTATATGCAAATTTTTATAAATTGGCCATTTTGAATGTATGCAAATACTAAATTCACTTTGAACATTCCTACTTACATAAATATAATATAGAGCAAAGATCGGGTAGAATATTAAAAAATAAAACTTTTTGGATATGAATATTTCTACATAAGACATTAATATACTTCTTCAACTTGAAAAGCTTCTAATTTTTCAATCTATATAACAGTGTTTTTCATTGTAATTCAGTGTTATGTTTATGAAATTGCATTCTCTTAAATTGCAATCAATGATTTCAAAGTCATTAAACTTCTACTGCAAGCCATTGACTTGTACAATTGAAAAACATTATCCAAAGCAGATCTAATTTTAAATAGGTCAAATGCGGTGCTTGAGAGCCTAAAAATAAATCAAATTAAGGGTTTAATTTAGAATATTAGGTGAAAATAAAAAATCAATAGACATCTAATTATCAATTTATTGATTTTGGAGTGCCTATCAAGGAGGACACATGCTGACACTCAAAATATTCTCAATATTACCTCAATTATATGCTTGACGCAGTATTGATTCAAGATAATATGGATCTCGTAAAATAACAACAACAATACATAGATGTAGAAATCATATAAAAAACTAGCATTTGTACCAGGAAGTTAATTAATGTCAAAGTAGTTCGTTACACAAAAACTTTTTTGAAATCTGATTTTGTTAAAAATATTGTAAAAAATTTAAAGCTAGCAAATTTCAGTGAAATCTTTTGATCAGTTAAATTCAAAATTTTGATTTTCAATTTTAATCATATTGGAATGAATTTTGAGGAATCATGAACAAGCAAGTGTACCATTGCTCAAAAATCTCCATAATTATAAGTGTTCAAAAAATTGTAATTTTGAACAAAAATTTATTTTTGCAATGACTGAGAAGTGGACCAATAATGATGTTAAATACAGGTAAACCGGTATCTTGAACAAAAAGATTTTTATCAATATAATGTCACCAATTTTTTATTTAATAAGCAAAACATTACTTTTATATTATTGCATAAAATATTGAAATTAGGCAAATAGCAGAAATTCTGTAAAAAATTTCAACTTGATTACGATAGATATTGAAAATATGGCGCTGAAATACGTGTAACAATATGGAGGTAACTAATTTTGTTTGCCTGTTTTATATCAAGATGTGTAAAGGGACTGAAGCATATGGGCAGGGGGTATATTTACTTGGCTAATACAGACAGTCCCCGAACTCGTAATAGAACTAAAATAAAGAAAATCGGAATAAAATTATGCCCTAACCTGGTACACATACTACGAGAGTATCGAAAATATTGTGTTGGCAATTGCCATCACTGATTACACATCTTAAAAAGATTCTGGTCTCCGCAAAAACAGTAGCTACTTACATATCAACGGCTGCTTATGCAGTGCCTTGTCAGAGTAAAATGCTTGAAAAAGCACCGTATAAAAATGATTCCTTAATTCATGAAGTATGATAAAATTTTCCATTGAAGTCCATTGACAGAAATTTGAATAACAATGTGCATTTCTCCCGAACAAACATGCCAGGATTCGAATTTAAAAATAAATAAAAACAAATGCATTGTGCGATAACAATGTACGTCATTCCATGACATTTGACATCATAATACAAAATGTTTTATTTTAAAATTTTCTAACCTAGGCTAACAGAATGGTAGTGCATTGCATCATAGGATATATCTAATTATAACACAAAACTACTTATTGCAATATTTCACAATATTGATAAACTTTTTAAACTTATTTTAATTGCTTAGAAAATTCACCAATCAATTTTACAATTTCAATTTTGTTCTGGAGTCAGTTCTAAATAGCTTGTTTTATTGTAATCAGTGTTTATTTAATTTTTTTGTTAATTCCCTTAATACACATTTGTAATGTCCACCTTTATTCGCACAAAGCACATTAAAAGCTCTTTCACTTAATTGAATTCAATCCTTTCTGAACACACTGTATATCATTTCGGCCCATGTTATTTTGGTGCACATATGTATATCTATGCTCCATGTGTTCATGTTTTGGTATAACATATGATTAGTTGTTATAAATTATTCCATTCCAAGAATTCATCAATGCCCAGAGAAATAAGCCATGGAACATTAATAGTTTTAGTTTATAATATTAATTCTGTCATCAGCTACAGATTGGTGAACCATATGCTTTCATGGAAAAACAAAAAAGTTCTGGCATATGTTAAGTATTGAAAACAAAATCCAGTTTCAAAAAGAAGAGTAGATTCAGATAGATATATATGGTATATATAAAGTATGGAGGTAAAAGAAATTTCATATTCAAATGTTGAAATTCCTAATATGTTTTCTGTAATGTTTATATTATTTATAATACATTCCCAATTATACGTTACACTATATCTCACAAATTTCATATCAATTATGATCTCTGTGAGAAATGTAAATAAGACATGTTTTATCTATAAATAGAAAAAATTGAATATTCTTGAAAGAAGACACAATACTTTGATGGCCAGATTATCATAGCTCGTGGCAACTTTTGTTATAATTTGTTCCCTTACTGATTCTATATTAAAATGTGTTGAGGTTGAAAGCAACACTTTTTTGAAACTGTCATATCCTAATTTAACGACTTTCAAAATGCATGTTCACTATGATACATTGCCCATGTATGATATAGTATCATTATATACATATCATCTCCGATAGAGAGTGAAACATTTTTCAAAGTCTGATAAACTTGTGTTGAGATTAAATGTATCGAACATAGGTATATTAAAAATAAACATATTACAAATTGTCAGTACTTCCTCATTTTCCAAAAATAACTTAGATTTCGGGAGAACTGTCAATGCTAATGACGACCACAATTTCATCATTGTAAATCAATACTGAATCACCTTTTAGAATTAAAGTTCATTTGAATAGAAACTAACACTCCCTTTTAATAATATTAATCATACAAATGAGATAAACAAATGGTCATGGTCTAATGCTAAAGAAAAGTAAAGAGAATTAGCAGTTGCCATCTGAGTATACTTTAATGTACACATGGGTTGTTTACATTGGTTCATATATCAGTCAAAGCATCCGAAACAAAACTTTAGGAAAACACCGTCTTTTTTTCAATAATAACACTCTTTAAGTTCGCAAAACTGATTCTTAGAAATACATGAAAATTTCCCCAAGAGCAAACCCAAATAGATACCAATAACGGAACTGGTGTACGTGTGCAAGCTGAACACAGAAAGAGAAATCTATGAAGTTCCGACAATACGACAATAAAAAAATGATTCAACACTAGAATTTCTGTTTGTGTATTATTGTACTCAAAACAAAACAACACTTTTACAAGATGATATCCTTTGTGTTAAAACTCTCAAATTTTGAATGTACCTGAATAATGAATTTGTTTTACACTTCCCTATATAAAGTTCTCTTGAATAAGAAAATAAAAAATTCGTGGAATTTTATCATATTTTTTATTACACTTTTACATACCCTGGCATGGGTCCACCCATTTCTAGAAGAAAAACTTGATTTTTATTGAGTTGTCCTTTCATCATATCATAGACCTGTTTTCCTTGTCCGCCTCCGCTTTTTGAATTGATAAACACCAATAACGGATCGAAAGTGGGTGATCCAGTGGGCTGAAAAAAGTTATATATTTTTAAGAATTTTAAGGAAAGACAATGAAAAATGAACCAAAAACATTTCAAAGTATTCATAAAATTCTGTTCAAATTAAAAAAAGTAAAGAGAAAATATATAAAATAATGTAGAAAAAATGTACAGTCTTTGAAAATAACACAGTAGCCATCTACCAATTTTTATTATAAATAAGTAATGTTCATTGTAAATAGCAAAAAAAATCAATTCCTATAAATAATATATGCAATGAATGATTTGTAAACATTGTTATTTTGCTCAATGAATTGAAATCCATACATCACTAATTTAAATATGATAAGCATATGAAAAATAATCTCGCAAATGTAATCATCTTATCTTGATACATTTTCTGCTCAATGAGATTTATAAAACAGTACAAAATTATACAAATATTTATACAAGGTGACCCCCCAAAAAAAGAACCTAGGTCATATGGAACATATCCTAAATAGAACATAAATTTTGTGTAAAATGTCCTAAAATAGTAAAACTTTGCGTACAAATATACACAAACGGAAGTGTTAAATAAATTTTCTTAATTTTTGAGAAATTCATGGTATTGTATGTAATGATAATATGGTATGATATATAGAAATTTAATATTTTTAATTTTATCAAAATATTTTTGTTTATGTATCACCTATGCTGTAGAATATGCCTCAAGAAACATGTATACACTGCATTACGTCATTATCCAATCTAGCCAATTTGCATAACAATTATAAGACGTGACATTTTGAATATGAAGAGACTTACGATGGTAAACATCGGGATTATTGACGTTAGCGTACTGACAAGTGACAACACCTTAATAATGTCATCTAATAATAGCATCAACATATTTGTGGATTATGTTCGCAAATATTGATAAAAAATTCATAAAAATTTAATACATTTTTTGAAATTTTAACGAAATCTTCATATTATGTTAGATTAGTAATATACCACGTGAAAAGTGAAAATAAATCTTTGGGCAAACAAATCTGACATTTGCAATTCGATATTTGTAGCGAAATGACCTTCAGAGAAACTTATATAGCCTACGTGTTATGAAGAAATACGCCTCTTTCTGCTTTTCATAAATGTTAAATTCTGGTTAGAATTTCCATCGCATTCGTTTTCAGAAACTGATTTGAAATTAAGAAGAATGAACATTTCAAATTAGATAGTGGGATGGATTCAATTACCAAATGATATAGGCCTAATATTTGAAATTTTCCGGATTTCATTTCAATTTTAGCACTGCAGAAGTTTATTTGTCATATTTAAATCGGCAGATGTACGTAATCATACAATAAGTAAAAAATTTGTCGAAAGTGAAAAAATTTAAAAATTGTGGCTATTTAGATTTAAACTCCATAAAAAAAATACTAAATTACTACTACTAAGGAAAACATTCTACTTATCAGAAAGCAAACAATAAAAAACACAAGAATCCTTACTACGCTGATGAAGGGTAGAAATATTAAATTCAGCATCCGCCCGAAGATTTTACGTTCATGCAGTGATCGGACCATTGCTGCCGCCGCCATTCCACTTGTAAAGCTGATGAAAACACATCCTAGAGAAAAAAAAATACCTTGTTGTTAGTACTGAATATTAAAGACCTGAATTTGAAAGGACTATACTCAATGAAATTCGGAGGGCCACTAGCAAAAGCCATTTGTGATGACTACAATAATTTGAAGTAGATTAACTATGATTTGTTTAATTCTTTGACTGTAAATGCATTTTTCGTTTAATTTCAGTTGTTAGCTTTCATATTATTTATGAGGTCGGCAAAATAACTGATAAAAATGAATTAAAAGCAAAACTAGATATTTTTAGAAAGTCTTTTGAAAAAGAGCACCACGGATCACCAAATTTGAGAGCCACTGGCCTAGGTATTTATTGTAAGAAAAGACCTGATATATAAAAATAGTTTTTGCCAGATTTCAGATAAATAAAATTACCGTAGTACTACGAAGAGCAAAAATGAGTATTTAAGCATGATTTGCAGTATGAGAACAGAAGGGGCCTAAGTCACATTTTTGAAAAATTTACGTTTTTCAATATTTTGGGATTTTGAGCCATGCTCTACAAGGTGGTGGTCTTGCAATCCTGAAATTCTCAATAATAAAATTTTAAGCTGGACTATAATTTTGCTGTGAAGTGGACAATTGAGAAAATTCAAAATCTAGATCATGGTAATAAATAGTGTATTATCAGACTGACTATTCTATTACTGTTATCCCTAGTACGCTGTTAGGTAAAAGCAGGCACTTCACATAATGCAATTTCAATATTTGTAAAAAAGATTCGTTTCGCAAACAATTGCCAAATAGTATTACATGATGAGTTTGTCACAACCGTGATATATCCTGGTTGCCACTATTCTACAACAAAATTAACTTTTACTCTAATAATAATAATGTAAAACAATGACTAACTAACATCATCAGTCCTTTATTGAACTTTATTCTATTTATAAAGTGATTGACGTTTACAGTGCGACAAAAAAGGACGTAGAAAACAAGTGAGTCAGTTTGATACGAAGAAAATTGAACAATTTTTGATATAACGAATTTCGATTTCTACTTCCATTGAACAAAATGTTTATATATAGCTTTATTTTGAGTGTGTATAATGACTAGTAAAGAGATAGGCGCTCCAGAAGTGTGGAACTGAAACCTACGGGCAGGGGGTATATTCACTTGGCTAAGACAGACAGTCCCAGAACATGCAATAGAACTAAAATAAGGAAAATCGGAATATAATTATGGCCTAACCCTAACCTGGTACACACACTACGGGAGTACCGAGAGATGAGCATCCAATTTGAATTGATAAAACATTTGCATCTTACAATTTTCAAATTCATTTAATCAGCTAACAAACTTGCATTGACAATTTTCAAAACAATCAATATTTTTGAGAAAGGGACTCATCTAGCATTATTAATAAATATATTCTACTGTATATAAAATAAAACTAAGAATAAGAACTCTACCTTGATCTGGAAATATTGGTCCAATACAGGCATCCTCTGATAATAAGAAAGAAATATAAATATATTACAATATTTTATATTGAAAAGAATTTTATTTACTGAAAGGGATATAAAGTCTCAATCATATTTTCAAAGCCCATAGGAATTGAGAGTCGCAGCTGTACTTTTAAACTTCTTGGAAGTTAAAGTTTCAGATTTCTAATAGTTCTAATTAAAGTCAAAATTTCTCAAGTACTTGTGGACATTGTGGTTAAAATTTGGTCATCTGATAATGCAGACCTTTAGTCAAAGTCACAGTCGCTAATTTTTTTGAATGGCTCTGAGTCAGTTCTCGGGAGCGAATCCAACTTGCAGGACATTACTTTCAAAGAATTAGTTATTCTCAGTAGTGGCCCACTATGACAATAATAAAGTGTGAAGTGGAAGTCACATTTATCCGCAATTAACACGTATCGAAGCGTGAATTCTGATTATTGAGAGATGTGACGGCACCGAGGGTTAGTAAAATGATATGACTAATACACATTCTATTGTTTGGTGTACTTATCATTTTTTTATGAGAAAATACAATTTAAAAAAAAAACGCAAACAGTAATACAATGTCACCAAAATATTTGGATTGCACAAAAATAGTGCTCAAATATTTACCATCATTACACAAATAGTAACAAATGTGTTTATTCTTACAAAAATATCCTAATAAATTATAATGTGAATAAAATTAATCTATTGGTTAGGCTTATTGTGGCAACCGCACATAGATTACCCTATAACGCCCACTCTTTCCATAACATGCTTTCTATGACTATTCCGAGAAGCAATTTATTACGTTTCATTTATTATGGATGGATTGAATCACGATTGACATTTCCGATAGAAAATATCAAATAACCTAAAACTGAACTCAATTTGTATTGATTTACTATATATGAAGATCTGATTTGAATGAAAATTTTTGAACTGAATTATATTTTATTCCGAATTGAATTGGGGAAACAATACAATGAGCCTGAAATTTGGAACCTACTTGAGATGTCTAATCAAGTTTTATTTCACCCAACTTTAGAATAGTAAAAGTCAAAAATTTTTTTTTGAGAATACTTAATTTTACTGATACAAATTATGTCAGAACTTTATTATCATTTTGCCATCTGGCAATTTTTTTCAAATTAATGGAAATTGAAAATTAAAATAAGTTGCAAATAACAGTAATCTACAAATTTGAGAAATTTGAGTGTTTTCAATCACTTTCTTAAAAACACTTACCTCTTTTCGAAGAAAACAAAGACAACCGTTTTATGTAATCCGATTTGTCCAAGTTTTTTGGGAGACCTCCAACAAACAGAACAAGTTCTTTTAATTTGGAAAGTTTCCGTCGAATGGCTTTACTGCGCCCTGCAACAAAACAAAGATAGTAAACAATAATTCAGCTTACGTCTTTCACATTTACTAAAAGCACAATTTATGCTTTTTTCAATCAAAAATGGGACAATTATTATTATCATTCTGTTATTTTATGTTTAGCATTCATGTAAGAGTAATGAATAGGCTTTGATGGGAGACAGTAAAAACGTTTGTGCATGGTTAATCTTAAAGTAATAACAGTATTCCTAATAAAAGTTATCAGATAATAGTAATCAGAAGGCATCACTTCCATAGGAAAATATATTCTGAAAAAATGTTCATTTTTATTGTAAAAAAGTAATGAAATCGATTCGTTAAAATTATTAAAATAATTGCAAGGTCGCAAACCATTGAACTACTTTCACAAAACAAAATTTTCTGTAGGCTGTGTTGTTAAACTCATTTTGCATTTTATCAATTTATATGAAGTATTAATTAATGCCCCGAGTGTATATATATCAGCTTTATTTATCAAAGGGATAAGAATATGTTTTACTCCTCACAATTTTCTTAGGTCTCTAATGATTCATTGATCAGGTAAGGTAATTTTGGAACAACTTTATTCTACAGTATCAACTTTTAATAAAGACCATACAGTTCATATGGGATCACTTTTTTGCATATAATAACTGCCAACAAATCAAATTGTATTTTAAAAATATTACAAATGTGTCACAGTAAAGTGTTATTCAGAGTTCACAACTTAAATCTTAAATGAACCTAATATACGTCATCAGTTTCTCAATAACTTCAAAAACAATGGATGAACAATGGGCAAATTCCAAGACTATGGCCAACAAGAAAAAACAAAGATTTGCTTATTATGACGTAGCAAGCAAATCTAAAAGTGAGTAAGACAACGCAGGTGTCGAATATTGACGTCCAAACTATAATCATTTCCTCGACGTGTGGTTGTGAACAACAGCGGTGCGGACTTTACTTTCGAGCATTGAATGATATTTGAATCACAATTTTACAAAGATTGGACTTAGCAAGACATGATGAAAACTTCACAAACTTTTATATTCTTCAAGGTCGTAAACCATACTGTATAAAGCAGTCGAGTTAATTGCATGAAAAAATATTCATGGAAAATGGAGATCAATACGAACTATTGATGGAAAGATTGTTAGGATATTAATAATACTTTTGCATAGTGAAGAATCATTGCCAATCAAGCAAACAAGAAAAGCATTCAAGTTCACAATGAATTATTGAAGTTACGGCACTCTATGGTACACATAGATTGATCATTGATTCGGAAATTAATGCAGCACTTTCCTTTTAGTATGACATAGAGTCGTAGACCATAATTCATCCATGCCTTGGGTTAATTCAAAATTTATCAGCAAACAGAACTCACTCAGAATTACAGGAGATTCATATCTGAGAGTAGCTATGGATGATCACTGGAATGCCAACAGCTACCGAAACATTCAGATTTATTACAATGCGTTATGCACATGTAAACACGAATAAATGCAAAACTCAAGAATCAAGATAATTCAAGACAATATGATCAAGAAAATAGATATGGGACAGTGAATTCTACATAACAGAAGGCATAAGAATCGATTTTTAGTAAGTTAGATATGTCGGCAACTTTTGCAGTTTTCATTGCAAACAGTTTAGCCGTTTTTAAAAAACACAAATCAATGCGAAAAAAGCAATACCTATGGCTCATGGTGGCACCTATTACAGGGGTTGGCAATTACTTTTCTGAGTGGGCCAGTTACAGATAATAGACTTGGTTAGTGGGCCGGATGCTCAAAACTCGATATGAAAAACTATGAATAAAAACAGCTAGGCTAACAATTATAGAATAATAAGAAGCATAAAGTTACAATCAGGGTTATTTTGAGTCTGACGTTATTTTCATCCATGTTTTCAACGTAAATTTATATTGAAAAAAAAACTATAGTCTTGATTTCAGCAGACACAAGTGGGCTGGATGGAACACTTCCGTGGGCCAGATCTGGCCTGCTGGCAGTAATTTGCCCACCCTGACCTATTACCTAACCTAACCTTTTAAATATGAATAAATATTTCAATATTTTAAATTGGTACATACAAATATCAAAATGACAATAAAATATAAAACACTGTAAATGGAATTTGCACCACGATAAAAATAATAAAAACACTATCGTTTATCTTCAAAATCCAAAATATCACTACCGATATTTTTATATTACCCATTCCAAAAGCTGTATTTAAATGATTAGTCTTAATAAAGAATCATTTTACATTTCAAAATCAATTAAACTGTGCAGACACGGATACATGCATAATTCCCTTTGATCATATTTCATATATGCGTAACATATGCTACATGCATTATGCATGATCATGATGTACACAAAACAAGTACTATTCCCAGTATGCCAAAATATCATTTGGAATTTTGTGTTGTGTAATTTTATATTTAACATGATTGATGGAAAAATAGAAAACTGATAGGATATGGAAAAATCTGATATTGAAGTATGGTACATTAATATAGTAGTTTTTGTGTAGTCTGTTATTTATAGCTTAAAACAGTCATATTGAAAAATATTCCAAGAGCGCCTTGGGCAAAAATTTTCAAAAATAACACTTTTGCTTTCCAGAAAAAGATGGAAAAATATGAATCAAGAGAGCGAGACAGTCAATAGATTATGAACAAAAATAAATTTCTAAATATGACAATTCTAACCAAAGAAAAAGAGAGATTTTGAATACCGTAATTAAGAAAGCGGTACTCACAATTTTCCGAAGTCTGTGCTGGCGTTTCATCTTCCCCTATTAATCCTGTCAAACAATCATAATCCATTTTATTTTATTCAAAGACACTTCAGATAATATTTTCAAAAATATATGAAAAAAATTTCTAGATGCAAAAATGAATAAAATTAAAAAAATTGAAGGCATACAGCTCAAGAGACGCTAGGAATATATAACACCTTAAAGGTCTTCTTTACTTTACTATGCGTACGGATAGTCAAACACTCAAACGTACAGAGTATTTAATTTAATGAGAAAAGGGTTCCTAACTTAATATACATAGGAATGCAGCAAATGATAATGTCGCGCACTTTGCAACTAAAAACATCAGATAAAAAATTAAATCAATGGGCTAGTGAGATATTTTATTCTATTCTTCAAATTATTTTATCATTCCATCTGTATAGCCTATTATTTATTTGATAATTCCATATTTATTCAAATTGCCGAAATGTGCAAAATTATGTCATATTATATGGAAAAAAATTGTACTTGTAACAAAAATTCAACCTGTATTTTTAAATAAAGCAACGTGAAATAACAATAAACCTAAAAATTGTATTAAGAGGCATATTTTTTTCTAAATATTCTTAGCTTGCTCTAAATAACGTCGAAATACAAATCACAAATTAAAACACATGCTATCAGCTGGAATAAAAACCTCACACTGAACATTGGATTGGACAACATCCTCCTTATAACTGAAATGAGCCTAAATTGCGTAGAAACGTACAAGACATAATTTTGCGTCGCAACCATACAGAGCCCACTTTTGATAATGATATATCTTATTAACAACGCTTACTCATAACGAGGCGTTTAATAGCTTCCTTCCAACGACTAAGTAGCGTCATTAAGTATCCAGTAAGATGTTATGAGTATGCCAGGAGCACACCAAGGTACAAACATACAGTACAATTAGAAAATGCATTAGCAGCGTAGACAATCTGTGAGCGACTGGCAGGTATTTTGTTGCATTTTCATTTATAAATTAGAGAACATGGAAATAGTGAGACTAGCAAGTTTTTTAAATATTTTTTCAATGAGTAAAAACGTAGACTGCTGTTCACGTTCAACAACGTATTATACGCAAATTTAATGATGCATCCATTGTTAGCGTACGTCAATGAATACAGTTTCGACCAAGAAACTGAAATAGGAGTCATTTGTGTATTGCATTTAGGGAGATATAAATAGGGAATTGATTCGTAATAAATACCGAAAATAGCAATGAGTTTTATTTTTATTGAAAAGACAAAGAATAGGATATTTTCGGAGTAATAGCAACTGAAGATCACAAGGTTTGAGATATATTTAAAATTGTGTTTCGTGGTCATGGTCGCCATTGATGTCACAAACATAAAATATCTACAAAGCATTTAATACATTCTATGAAACTTCATTGCGTATGAGCAAATTGTCGATCACTCTTGCAGATGTGAAATGCTTAACGGAGGCAAAAGATAGATTATCAGTCACCAGAAAGAAGCATGAAGAATAATGCCAGAAATAAAAAGCCTTTCCTGGCAATAAGAATTATTAGCATACTGGAATTATTACAACACATTAAAAAGCGTTGACTAACTACTAGAAAGAGCGAAAAGTGAGGATCTGTAATATGAGATAGCTGAAATCAAGCGTAAGCATTGACACAAATCTCATGCCCATGACCTTGCCCAGGGTATAATGAATGAGATAGCCAATGCCAAACTAGGAAGATTGCGATTCAATAAATAGTGAATCCTTACATATTGCTAGATATGGGTGGGCCTTGTTCAAAGCGACAGGGATTGGGGTCGTATAATTTTTTTTTAAAAAAAAACACTGTAAAGCAGGGGTCACCAACCCGTTGCCCGCGGGCACCAAGTCGCCCGTGAAGACCACATGAGTCGCCCGCAGGTCTGTTCCGAAATAATAAGTTACATCAATCAATTTTTGTCATGCTATCCTTGTACTGATTACACTTATATTTTAACAATCAACCTGATTTGAACTCAGCAATGTGACGGGGTATTTTAGTCTTCCAATTATGACATCACACAGTTATCACCTTCCACTAATACGCGTTTTTTCGAGTTCAGATTTAAGTATTCTGTGGCGTCTAAAGCTGCCGTAAAACCACGGCGGTGTTTCCGAACCGACATACTTTTTAGCTGCCACATACCAATGGAGAGCTGCCGTTACCGCGACAGCAAATTGAAAACCAATGGCAGGTAAAATTTTGCTGCCGGTCGGCCGTAAAGACAGGGCTGCCCCTGATGGTGACAAATATTGGGTAAATATTGAGACTATTGTTTGATTCAACCGTTCAATCTATCTTTGTGAATCAAAAATTTTTCATGTGTACTTCAACCAGGAACAAACACGGAACACGCCTTTCAGATGATCTGCAAGTCTCGCTTAGTGTTACAGTGTCGCGTTACAACAAGTTACGCACCGCAGTACAACACTCTGTACCATTTGATAGTACAACTGTTAAGTCCATTTTAACCTAGGCAGAGGGTAGAGTGCAGAGTGTTTGTAAATAACCCAGGTATATTTTGGTTTCCTAGTATATTTAGTAGTGATGACTTTAAAATCAATTTGAAAGCATTTTTTTAAAAATGCAACGCAAGTGTCCTTGATAGAAATTTATTTCAACGTTGTGATAATCGTTTGATTTTATGAAGAATCCTAGAGTTTATCAGTGTCTCTACTAGACTAAATACCAGTAATTATTAATAATTTAGGCTTAATCGAGCAAACTGACTTTTTTAGAAATGTACATTGAACTGGTAGCCCTCAGCTTAATCTGTACCCAGAAAGTAGCCCTCGGCTTCGAAAAGGTTGGTGACCCCTGCTGTAAAGAATACCATCCTTTCAGTAAATAATATCTTCCTACACAGCGTTAGATATCAGTAAGTGTTCAGAACGAGTGCCATGAATAAGCGTTGTATAAAAATAGGAAAAATACATTTCTATAATTGTAAAAATTACCAGATGCTTACCAGACTGTTGACGTAATGATACGAATCCATCTTCTGCCGACGGCACTGAAACAAAACTCAGTGGAAGTAAGATGCCACTCGTATGTTCGCTGACTTCTTGCATTTTCCGCACATCAAGAAAGTGCGTCACATGATCATTTCCTCCCAGCTTGAAGAGTTATAATTTCAAATTACATAACTAAATCTCAGTTCCTAATGTAGGTAAGTAATTATTTCGTTAGTCAGCATTCTGTAAAAACAGAGAAATTATTGTTATCTTTGAGTGGCTAGATGGCCAAATGGTGAGAAAGCTGGACCTAATTATGATGCGTTGTAGACTTGAAGTTTAAAGATTTCAGTTTTAAATCTCATACCCACCAGTGCACTACCCCACCCAGGGTGTAATTTGGAAAGATGCTGATAAAAAAAAATCCTCCTTACATATTTTGTTTTGTGGCTGCATATTTAGAGCCTCATTCGAAGATAAGTTTTGAGAATGATTATTAGGAAAAATAAGTAATGGAATAGAAGAGTAGCCAATTGATTTGGATAAAACATCCCAATATTAAAAAATAAAGCGATTTATTAAAGCAGATAGGACTAAGTATAAAGTATAAGCTTCTTTAGTGCATTTCATTTTTTAACAGCAAACAGGTAGAAAATGATCATGCCTACGCTTTTTCCAGATTAATTTGTTTTGATTCTAAATTATTTCCTGGTACATATTATTTTAATATTGCAAACTAAATAAAATACTGTACAGTAACTATTTGAAAGTTACGACAGACAGGTAAAGAATTTGAAAACATTGACTAGTAAAATAGATAACAAGTTAACAACTGTATATGAATAGAAACTAACACCAAACTGTCATAAATAAGTCAAGTTGAAACTATCTCAGTTTTAAATAGAGAACACATTTGTTTATTGCTTTGATTGGCATTAGTAAGGCCTAATATTTTTTTTTACAATTTTTTCCATCATTTCTTTAAAAGTAGCTAAATTTTACTAATAAAGCAAAACTTTAAAATATGAACATTTTTTTTAAAAAATTAAATTTTTTTTAGATTCAACTGAGTACAAACAAACTGTTAGTAATTCATGTAACGGAGAAAAACAACCAAAAATGAGAAAGTGAATCTCATATACTCTAATTTTGTAGACTTGACTCGCTTGAGAGAGAGTAACATATAGCATGATTCTCAGTAACTCAATCATTTTCATCAACCATATTCTACTTAAACTACAAAATATAAAGTCCTCCATTGAATTTTGGATTATCAATACGACTGTTCCCGACAGTAAATGAGTGACCTCCAATTTCTCTACAACTGGCAATTATTCCAGAGGGAAACTTATTGAGAATGTTATTGAACTCGTACAGATCAATAAAAATAACAAGTCTGTATATTACAATATTATCTCCGGCAACTACCATCGTATATAATTGATGATAGCTACAATTGAGATCAAAACTTTCGTATATTATTCTATTTGATAAAATTTTAATTTAGACATTCAATGCATTTTTGAATATTTTAATCCAGAACACCAAAACTTAATTTTTATTAATTTTTCATTCACAAAATTTTATATTATTTATGAGAAGAGACATATTTATGTTATAAAAGAATTTTCATAACAAAATAAATGTCCAAATAAATATTACTGAAGTTGTGAACATATTATTTTCAGTATAATTTTTAGTTTAAAAAACAATGTTTTGAGGCATTTCACATCTGACGTAATCGGTTCATTCAACTTCTGATAATCTATAAATAATTATATAAATTAAATAAATGTACAGGGTGTTCATAAATCTTAAAATTTTAAAGAGATTTATCGATACCATATTATAGTTTACAGGTTAATTAAATGAAGCCAAAAAAAACTTGAATAAACACTGACTAAAATAAAATCAACCTAATTAAGATATATTGAGAACTGACTTCATAATAAAATAAAGTTATAATGAACTAATTATGTTCAACATATGAAACATTTTTTATAACCACATTTTACAATTCCATTTAAAGTTGTTTGTATGATATATTCAAAAATAAAATATTTACCTTTTATAACTTATTAAACGACCATTTCTATTATACATACCTATCTCAATATATTGTTCTATACTGAATGGAATTCAAAATATTGACGTATTAACTCATATACAGCATGTCAGTTCAATGCATTCTGCAGCCATGCGACAGTAGCTGTGTGCGAGTGCGACACATAATGTAAAATGATTGGTCGTAAGGGATTACCATGCTATTGAATAAAACTGACAGGAGTTATTTATAAACTACCGGATCAGAACGCATACAACGTCACATCACACTTCCTTTGCAATGTGTTTCAGATATACAATAGACTAGTTAGATCAGGGAAATGGACTAGATTCAAAATGATTCATATAGAAGTGAGAACTGTATAATCTATATTATTCTTGTGAATCCTGTCAAACATAAAACGTCAATCTACGTCAAACTTTGTCAATAATAGATAAAGTAGAGATATTAATACCAAAGCTAAAATCTGATTCACTTGTACAACTAAGTCAATTTTGCGAATGCGCATATCCTCGCATATATAAGCCAACCCCCTAAAAATGACCCTGAAACGGTGAATTTATAAAAATTTGCATATAAGCCGTATCGTACGCTCTCATCGTGAGAAGTTTGCATGGTTCGAGTTGTAGATCTTGGAATTAAGTTAGCATAATGTCATTTCGTTTGAGTGCAATCAGAGTTATGCGATTATAAGCAGACCCCTTAGTTTGGCTACTTTTTCTTAGTTTTAAACATGGCGTATCTGCATTTTGTGTAAAACCCAGCATAAGACTTCACTATTCAATTGCTACCATATTAACTTATACTCCTATTCAGAAACTAGACTCGAACTAGGCACTGGCAGATATTTCTGTCAGACTACTGAAAATTATAGATCTTGACAATCTGGCGGTTTATAATTTATACAGAAACTAAATTTTTTCATTCAGAATATATTTCACCAAACACCTTTTTAATACAATTTTTTATCTTCAAAAGCTGAGTACATAATATTTATAAAATATTCAAATTTATCTTCAAGGTATCAAGCCATCAATGTCAAGATTATTTGATATGACTATTTTAGTCACAAATGTTGATACAAAAAAGGTTGATATTTCATTCCATATTATGACGTCAATGCCTATTTTAATCCTACTAATAAAGATAAAAATTTGAACTCAATAGAAACTACACATGAGTTCATATTATTTATGGAGAAAAATATATTTTTTTGCTTAATGAGCACTCTTTTTTAAAAAAAATTGATATATAGATAGAGATACCTGGTATTTAAAAATATTCAAATTGATAAAGAAATATGACATTTATGATTCTATTTTAATATGAAAACTCCCAAAACATCCTGCAGAAATTCTAAATAAACAAAAAAATTAACAAATTATTTCGAGCATTCTGCCATCAAAAAATCTTCATCATGTATTTTTGAATAAATATTTCTATTTGAATCTTCAGTTAAGACGATCTATCAGATATTCAGATTGACGATTTGAATGGAGCAAACTTACTAAACAATACAAATTGCACAGTTGACATCTAATGTAAGAAGGTTGAGCAAATAAAATAATTGAAAGTCTGATTGAAATTGGTACAATAACACACCTAAGCATCACTATGATTCAAATTAAATAAAATAAGGTAATAAACATTCCACCTATGACTTTGCAGGAAATCCCTATCGTCAATGAAGCAACTTATAGTTTAAAATAAAAAGCAATTGCCAGCATGTGTATTTAAAATGGTAATCTTGCTATATTCAATAAATTATCAAAACTAAAAATGTAGAAACAACTAATATATGATTATAAAAAGATCAAAGCATGCATAATGTAAACCAAAACGTTTTTATGATCAGGGACAAAAAACCTGCAACAGGTTAAACCAAGTTGAGATGTAAACGAGATAGCAAATTCCCAGCCCTATCAATAATAATCATTGGTAAACCTTGGGAAGTCCACAAGTTATTTCTACATATAAATTCCAATTTTTATAGAGAGTTCACTCATACTTAGTTTGAACCAAAATCTGATTTCAATGACAAAATAAATTTTAAACGCTGCCTTTGAAAGTGTCACACATTTTCTAGATAACCCAACATCACTTTTCGAATATAGATGAGAGAACTGAAAGATTCTCATGCAACATTCATGAATGTACAAACTTATATCCAGAGCGTCAAGCCCAGATTCATCTGTTTTTGACTGCCGTAATTTGTTCCAGATGAAAAATTACATTCATAAATGTGTTTTCATTTTTCATCACAGTCAATTCAAGCACATTCCATTTTTCTATGCTTGCGTCATGCTCAAAGAGTCTCCTTCCGGCAATCACACAGAATTCAACAAACTCAGCTAGCAAGTCCACTATACGTTATTAACTGATATAAGCATATCTTTGTGCCACAAATGTCTTCTCGAAAGTGGAAATATATATATGCATTGCAGTCTATAAAAAAAAATTAATATCTAAACTCAGAACAACGTGTCCCATTCAATATCCATGATTTCAAGTGGTAAATGTTATTAATCAAACACCTCAATGTAATCTCTTATGAAGGAATATGATTATAAATAGCTTTTAGATCAAACAAACGTTTGGTGTTCTACCCTAAGTCAATACCAAAGAGCGTCACTGTGTAATTACATAAACTTTCGCAGTAACTACTTTCTCTCTGAATATTTGATTAAGCTTACTCGTCATTGAATCAAAATTTCATTAGCATTCCTATTTAAAAAAGGTCAAACAAATGCCACAGTCTCAATTTTTTTTTGTATAATGTCAGTTTTAGTTATACACTATATTTTCACTGCACTAAATTTATGTGAATTAATAAACGGTGACCGTACATTTGAACCCATGTGTATATCCCCGGGTTCAATCTATTTGCGGGTGCTAAAACCCATGGGTTAGGGTTAGTATGGGTTCAAATATCCGTGAAACAAAAATTTTCCATAGGTGCAATAGTATGCAGGTGCATTTGTCGTGGGTTCAAATGTAATGGAACCGAATTAAACGCATAATAATACTGTTTTCATTTCAAAGCCTAGTCTTTAATGTAATTGAGCAGAATTGATAGATTAATCTCATGTTGGAAAAAAAAATTGACAAAGGAAAATGACGTCTCAACCTGCCATCAAGCTTGAAAGACAATAAAAACCTTTTACCTATAAATATTATTACTGTGTGGA